AACTTCTATTGTCGCAGTTTACTCGCAGAATAGTCTAACACAAGGCTTTCGAGCTATGTATATTCAAACTCTATTCAATGCATGATGATGCCCCAATAACGGTCGATCCGTCTAAATTCCATCACTAATAAAGAAGGTCGTAACGCTCCCAGTAGCAGTGATCAGACTTCCGCACTCAACATACGTGGTCTCAAACATGCTCACAATAGCAAAATTATACACAAAATAATATAGGCCTATTAAGTAATGAATCAAAGACTGTTATATTGACAAATCACGGTCTATTTCGTACACAAATATTTTCTATTGCCGTTTAGTGTGTCAATAATTTATTTATTTATTTGCACACACAATAAAATTACTACCATTACAAGAATTTTCCAAAAGCCTGCAATTAGTATAATACTGGATTGTAGACCCATACCACAATATACCTAGAACTTACATTTAATACGGTAAATAACGTTAAATAATCAAATGTATATGGAAAATAAATAATATAGGAGTACTGCAACGCAATTAATAATTTTTGGTAGTTTATGTTGTCTTTTACATAAAAGGCTCAAATTGAAACATTCCACATATACACATATTGTAATCTGCAAATTGGCAATCCCAGATATATATCCCAGTCTTTAATCAATGTCTGAACATTTTGAATTATATGTGTACCATACAATATTATAGCTCCATATCTGAATTATATTCAAATACACTAGGTAGCGTCGCGTGTGTAGTAAATGCAAATAAACTTTATCGGAAGAATGCTGCCGAATATGTGTGGTAGATGTAGTAATGACGACAGTAAAACGATAACTGCACTTGACAATGTTGTCATATGGTCCCGAAAGTTTAGCTTGTTCTCGAAAAGCACGGCCAAATCATTTGAGAGGCAATGACTCGCAAGAATCCTATCTTTAAGGGCATAGACATATTCGAATTTATATATATTTTTAAATGTTTTAACAAATTATATCACCTATGTTAACTGTATAAAATTACGAACACATCAATGAGAAAGTGAATTAAATATTAAGGAGGAATAACAATATGATAGTTCGGTTGATGGAATGAACAGTGTGTTAAAGCCACACAATCGTTATCCTATCATATCAATTCTAATCGCGTTCAACAGGTATATATATTATTTTTGTACCTTAAAATTTATAAACATTATTATTGCGTCTATTGATATTAACAAAATCCATTGTGCCCATTACAAGACACCGCAATATATATTTCATATATGTATATATTCAATTACCACAACCCGCATGATGGCGGGCGAACTACTTTCCAGGGAGTCCTGGTATCCTGTCGGAACCGGCCATCGCCGCATCTTAGACGTTATTATTATTTTATTTATTTAATAACATATTACAATGTGTTAGCATTTGTACAGTTTTTACTACTAATAAATTTATCAACACTATAAAATTACTGTTCCAAAAGTAAAGAACGCAACCTGCCGTCATAAAGTTTCCCATTGTGTACCATCTTTAAGATATTCACAATATTAAAGGACGATTGTATAATGCTATAGGGTAATCCATCTACGAGTATTTGCCGTATGTTTCTAGCGGTTTTCACAAATATCATTACTAAGAATCTTTAAAAAAAAATATACTTTATTTTCAGGCTGGTTCATTTGACCCGAAAGTATAAATTATGATTTAGAGTGCATAACTTTTTAGAATTGAGATTTACGGCACAACGCATTTGCATGCCATAGAATAGCCCTGGTAAGATGCAAACGTAACCATCCCTGTACGTCCATAAACTGATACTATATCATGCAATCGCAAATAGCCAAATAATGAATTTAAAAATAAAATTATAAAAGTCATATTTGGAACGTCACGCATGGAACATTGATGTTATTTCGTTTTGCTGTTATACATTTGTTTTTTCACTTCTCGAACATTCCGTGGCGTCACTATTGAATTCAGTGTACAATAAATTCTAACCATTTCTTTTCTTATGGAGAAAGAAAATAAAAATGTTACTTGCATTTGTAGGCGTGGCAAGAATCCAATATAGATCTTGTTGATCCCAATTCTGAAACTATTGGGAAGTTTCAGAAATGATACGTCGATACAGTAGTACATCCAGTTTATTCCTTTCTTCAAATTACACTCCACATAAATTGCGTCGCTGTACATTCACGACTGGTCGTCTCGGTCGCCTCGAACAAAGAGAGCAGCCCGCTCCTTCCTTGTTCCCGGCCTCTTTATCTCTATTCCTATTGGTGGCGGCATAATCGTGACGCCACCAACTTCACGTGACTTACTATGGTTTTTAATGAATGAAATGTAAGTAACAAATTAGTCAACCGAGTGTTCTTTAGGTATTGAAGCTAACAATAATAAAATTTCATATTGTTTCATATGTAAATCAAATAAAAATGTACGTATATTCAACAAGTGCTTAAGCTAATAAATTTCATGAAATTGTCATGATTTATAATGCTCTGAAACAAATAAATTTGACAATTAAAAAAAAACTTTTCAGTTTAAAAAATTGCTTAGTTTGTGAAGTCTAAATTTTAATCTACTCACATGATATATATATTTTATTGTATATTCATATCACGTCTATAGTATGTACTCTACTATAATAAAGTTTAACTACATATATTTAAAAAAAAAAAAAATTAGGACCCTCCATTTGGCTTGCCCTTAATCCATCTGATTCGTCTTTCCCAATAATCTCCCGGTATTGAAGAAACATTTTCTATGAAAAAATCTCTAAATTATTAAAATAGAAAGTTAGAATTAGCTGATTAACTACCGAGATTATTTTGCGTGAATAAAAAAAGGACATGTCAAGACACGCAAAGTGCAGTCGTCACATTATGATGTGTCTTTTTATGTAATTGAAAGGACAAACAGGCTATGTGACCTGTTTGTCCTTTCTATATAGATATCTTTGTTTGTTCTTTCTATATTTCTTTATAAATATCTAAAGAAATAAATAAAATTGAAGTGTTTGTTTGTAATTTCAAATTAACAGCTTTTCACTAAATGCATGTATAAGTATTTATATGACACATACAATACACTCTTGACTAAATGTATGTACTCGTACTTATACGTTACATACATCAAAAATAATTAAAAATATACCCACATTTTTTGTGAATACATTCATAATATACATAGAAAACACCCAGACCGATACAAACAATCATGCTCAAAAATACAAAAGATTGTGTCGTACGAGGGATCGAACTCGCGACCATCGGAATTACCACCAATAAACCACCGAGGCCGTCGAATTATACGTATAGGTATGTTTTTCTAATATTTGCCTGCTATATCATAAAAAAAATTGGCAAAACTATAGTAATAGTACTTATGTTACTAAACTAAGCTTAACCGTTGTAATTCGACAAACACAGTTAAATTTAACAAGCACCGAGCATGTGGCGTTTCCGTCGATGGAAATAAACGAGGGTGGGTTTGGTTTTTGTAAATGTTTACAATTTGTGTTTGCATCTAGCCGAGCTATTTACAGTCGTTACACGTTGAATGGGACTTCGTTGAATGTTAACCAGTTAAATATTATAAGTTACGGCTAAATACATGAAAAAATATACGTGTAATAGAATTAACTCGATTTTTATATCACATTTATTTTCATACTTAATTAAAGTGTTTTTTGGTGGTGTACCGGTTTATTTCCGATGGTAGCGGGTAATTCCACGCACAGTACAAATCTTTCTATTCATTAGTACGATTGTTTGTATTGGTTTCATTTCATGGCTCTCAGCTGCTGGCTATAGATAACCATATGTTGTCTATATTTCTTTTATTTATATAATTTTAATGCACACAGTACAAAAGTAACAGTACATTTTGCGGGCTTACCACCATGCAGTATTTTCTACCACATATAATACCACTATATTGACTCGTCGTTTTATTTAAAAAAATATATCTTAATATTTATTCTAGAAAATTCTTATCTATATCACATTCTATGGTATTAAATGACATAACTGCTGACACGACTTTACCGTAAAAGTTGTAAACTTCAAAAAAAGTTCTGTTACGAACTTTTTTTTGGATGGTAGATATGCGCTGCCTGAAATACTTTTTTTGTTTTAGGTGGTAGATATGCGCAGCCTAAATTACTTTTTTTGTTTTAAGTGTTAGATATGCACTGACTAAATTACTTTTTTTGTTTTAAGTGTTAGATATGCACTGACTAAATTACTTTTTTTGTTTTAAGTGTTAGATATGCACTGACTAAATTACTTTTTTTGTTTTAGGTGGTAGATATGCGCTGCCTAAATTACTTTTTTTGTTTTAGGTGGTAGATATGCGCTGCCTAAATTACTTTTTTTGTTTTAGGTGGTAGATATGCGCTGCCTAAATTACTTTTTTTGTTTTAAGTGTTAGATATGCACTGACTAAATTACTTTTTTTGTTTTAGGTGGTAGATATGCGCTGCCTAAATTACTTTTTTTGTTTTAGGTGGTAGATATGCGCTGCCTAAATTACTTTTTTTGTTTTAGGTGGTAGATATGCGCTGCTTAAATTACTTTTTTTGTTTTAGGTGGTAGATATGCGCTGCCTAAATTACTTTTTTTGTTTTAGGTGGTAGATATGCGCTGCTTAAATTATTTTTTTTGTTTTAGGTGGTAGATACGCGCAGCCTAAATTACTTTTTTTGTTTTAAGTGTTAGATATGCACTGACTAAATTACTTTTTTTGTTTTAAGCACTGACTAAATTACTTTTTTTGTTTTAGGTGGTAGATATGCGCTGCCTAAATTACTTTTTTTGTTTTAGGTGGTAGATATGCGCTGCCTAAATTACTTTTTTTGTTTTAGGTGGTAGATATGCGCTGCTTAAATAATTTTTTTTGTTTTAGGTGGTAGATACGCGCAGCCTAAATTACTTTTTTTGTTTTAAGTGTTAGATATGCACTGACTAAATTACTTTTTTTGTTTTAAGTGTTAGATATGCACTGACTAAATTACTTTTTTTGTTTTAGGTGGTAGATATGCGCTGGGGCGTCCGAGACGAGGCTACAGATGACCACATGACCACAGAGCTGTGCATGAGGGAGATAAAAAACTGTCAGCGACTATCTATGGGTCCTAACTTTGTTGTTTTCCTGGGACAGAAGTATGGTTATAGGTCAGTAGTCTATATCTTATAATTGTATTATATAATGCTCAAATATATAAATAAAAAAAATCTTCATCCATAATTAATCAGAATAAAAGTAGCTCCATCTTAAATTTCTCTGAACAATTTACTTAATTTTTTTTTTGTAAATACATATATAATATATATGTATAGAAAACACCCAGACCGATACAAAAAAAAGGACGAGGAATCAAACCCGCGACTATCGGATTATGAAAAACGCTCACACGTCGCAGTTGTTGAAATTGTGTTAAACATTCAAGAATGATAAACATGTACATTTAAATTCTTGCTGAGAGACAGCATAATTATATTTACGTCCACCAAATTACAAAGGTAAATACTTATTTTTTACAGTGATTCAAAGAAATAAACATTAGTTAATGAGTCATGAAATATTTTTGGAGATTTCATTACGGTTAACAAGTGTGGAAACACGCAAATGAAATACTTGCGAAATATTTAAAGGAAATGTTTTCGAAAACTCACGTTCACTTATTTATAGGTCTTTAGGAAAATAACGTGCGCAGGAAAACTAAAAATAAACCCCAAAGCTATTTACCATATGATGCATTTAGTATCACCACATATTATTATTTGGCGGCCTCGGTGATCTAGTGGTTTAGCATACCGCTTTACTAACCGGTGGTCGGAGTTTCGATGCCTCGCACAGTACAAACATTTGTATTCATGGGTGTGATTGTTTGTATCGGTCTGGGTGTTTTCTATGTATTAATTTATAAAAAAATATAATTAAAATAAGTCCAAGACATTATAATCCGGAATCAAAATTATTTTCTTTTTCGTACCTACTTTTAAGCACTTTTTCACTTACACTTAGTCATTACTTATTTTATAATCTACGCTCATTCGCAAAGCTGTTTCATCACAAGAAGAACCAGCAAGAAACTTGTGTGTTGCTCTTTTAAATAATCCTCCTAAGTTTACATTTACAAGTACGAAACGTGTGAATACAAACTACCAACCAGCACTCATTTATTTGGGTCAAATATAAATATACAATTAGATTAAATCAGTCGTAGTGAAAACAAGCAGCAATCGTTCACGAGTATGACGGATGAGCCGGCCATCACTGCGCTCGACCATATTTTAGGGAGCCCAATAACCCGGCCCACCACGCCGCCACATGTCTGGACATTTTAGTGAGCATGACTACTGTTTACACTCGACCACGTCACAGTTACAAAAATTACTATATGGTAGTTACAGTATTCGCACTTTACATGAGGATGCATGCGGCAATCAATACAAAAGCCGCTTACGCTATCTTATATCAAGAAAGCAGTATGAAAAAGAAATTATAACATTGTCCGCAAATAAACTTATTCTTGCTAGATATCTAAATAATTTTTGTAACTTTACATTATTAAGTTAAAATGTGTGACTACAAACTACCAACTAGCACTAATTCATTAGAGTCAAAATGTTAAATACACAACCCTCTGGTTGTGTAACTAAATGAGATTAGAGCAGACCAGTGTCTTTGTAGAATCACCCAGAGCAAGAGAAGCAGCACCCGTTCACGAGTATGAACCAGCCATCAGTGCGCTCGACCATTTTTTAAGGAAGCCCAATGACCCAGAATTTAGAAGCCATTTTTCCAGCAAAACAATAATAAACTTAATCATTCTCTTATGTGAAGAAATCTGAACTTAGCAGTGGGATAATAATTTGTTGTCAACATAGTGATAAAAATGGATTTCAAATGGATTTATTATTTTATTTATTTATACTCTTTGCTGCACCAGACAAAGAAAACACATAAAATGATATATTACATAAACTTATACAAAAGGCGGTCTTATCACTAAGCAATCTCTTCCAGACAACCTTTGGGTAGAGAAAGTAACATTAAGATAAGAAAGGGGTGGGTGGTACACGTAACGAACATAAATTTATATATATTTGTACATAAATATACATATAGAATAGAATATAAACATATAGTTATTTATATTATTAACCGGATCTTAACACGAACTAGTTTATGGCAAATAAAGGTATTTACCTCTCTCGACGTTTCGACTAGATTGCACTAGCCGTGGTCCCTAAACTTTGTATATTAAACACGAAAGTTTAAAAATGACTATACATATAGTTAATATATTTACATATATTCTTAAAGTTAGTGTATTATAATATAATAAAGAATGTACTACCTACTAATTTCAGACCTATACCAACCTACGTCCTCTCATCAGAACTTCAGATGTTAAGAGACGAGCTCGCCGCTGGCGGTGTAGACGTGATACTCCTAGACACATGGTACAAGAAGGATTCGAATGCTGTACCACCCGTATCTGTTCTGCAGCCTATATCATCTATATTAATCAATTTTAATAACAAGGTACGAGTATATGCTACAGATGGATCTAAATATGAGACCACACATTATTCATAGATTAAGAATTTGAAATGTAAACGCTTAGCATAATGATATAAAGAAACCAAGTAATGAGATCTCAGACCACATGTTTATGAAAAAAATAAATATTACTCTTTAAATTCGTTTCACGTAGTAAAAAATTATGTAACCACGAAAAAAATATTACAGTACAACTAAGATTTTTCCTTTTTGAAGTCAATGTAAAACTTAGAAAACTTTAATTAGAACAAACGTTACTATGAATCTTTACTGTGTAATCTTGTTGTTGCTCGTTTGCCATTCGAATTATATAAAAAATTGTACAGAAATGACAAAGGCTTTACGATATGCAATATATTAAAGTCTCTTTCTGAAGTTATTCATATCAACAGACTTTGAATAGAATATAATTTATTGACTCCTACACAACGTAAAAAGAAACGAAAAGCAATTTACACGCATTACAAAACAGAGCAAATATGGAATACAACTCAGCATAATACTGGAAACAAATTTTCTAGCGCTGATTTTAATTTGGCCCACAGTTTATTGATTGCTTTTCATCAGATCCTACAGTAATAGACTAGATTGAGCTGTTATATAAAAAGCTTTTATTAATCAATTTAGGAAATCGCTGATTGCTGCAAATATTATCATAGATTTGAGATAATAAAATTTTGAGTTGGTACATTACATCATACAACATTTGGGGGAGGCCTATGTCCAGCGGTGGACGTCTTCTGGGCTGCGATGATGATGATGATGCCATTACATCAAGGCTCTGTACTTGACCATTAAATTTCTATTAGGTGGACCACATACAATTCTTTAGCAATATATAAATGCTTATAGTATTTATTATTCTTTAAAAGTTTAATCTAAAAATTGTCTTCCATTTTCAGAGGGTACCAAAACTGCAAGCCGAAGATCAAGCAGTATGGTGGGACACGCTTGGAAAAATGCAGAAGCTATTCAGAAAGGCCTCATCTCAGCTTTATAGCGCTGGAAAGATCGATAAGGACACCATGCACAATTATTTTATGTCAGGTATAGATTACACGATAATGCCTTATTTTTTAGTAGCATTAGTTGCGGACTGTAGTTTTGTTGATAAGAAAATATTTTCTATGAAGGCTAGGCGCCTATAGCTAGATGAATGTTCCTGCTATTCACTTAACAAAAGATGAATACGAGTATCCTACATTTAAGTCACTCCAGCATCTTAACCAGCATAATATGCTAGTTAAGCTAATTAGTCTGGCACTCATAAACGATACGTTATTACCTCTATAAAGGAGGGAGATTAAAACACGAATATGACGGGACGAGAGAAAAAAAAGTTAAAGATAGTTGCAAATATTTTCCTGACTAATGTTACATATAAACAATATAGTTATTGTAAAAAACATAGACAATAAAAAAGATATATAAAACTGTTTGTTCTGATTCAATTTTTATCTTTATATATTACGCTGGGAAATAATGCCAAGTCGTAAACATAGATTTTTATTTCACACAGCGCCACATTTAGGCCAAAGCTTGTTGTGTGTGATACTAGACAGCTGACAAAAACTTAAATCCATTTTTTTGTTTAATAATATTCATAGGAGGCATCTAGAGCAATTCAAATAACCATATACGTACTTATGAATACAAATATTTGTACTGTGTGAGGAATCGAACCCACAACCATAAGACGGTGTCCTAAACCACTAGATCGAGGCTGTCGAGTAGATCTATAACACTATAAACTCAAAAGTAATTTCTGATTTTTATTCTACTGTAAATAAGTAATACCATGATAATTTGAAGCCGGAAATCGATGTTACACTTTATCATTACGCCCCTATTGTATCAACTAATTAACGTGCCAATGATGAGTACGGGTCTCTCGTAAAAGCCTATTAGCCCATTAATGCCACGCCGGTCAGGCGATCCAGTGAATGTAAAATTTATTTGGACTTTCCCGTCTCCTGATTTGATGCGCTGTTCTATAATATTACTTTTCCATTAATTAGGTTATTTTTTTCTTATGGATGGGAATGGAATGCACCTGCCTGGGCTAACGGTTTACGATGGCGAGGCACCAGTGGCAGATGATAAAATGAGCATGAGATTTAGCTAGCCCGTGGTAAATTCACCATGAACTTATCACAATGGTTTCCAGGGGGAACCGCGTGGAAGTCAACCTGATGAGCTAGCAATTGATTATTAGTTACTAACAATCTCCTTTTCCCCATTAATTAGGTTATTACACAATGAAAGTTAAGAATTCTCAGAGTAATTTTTACTACCCATATTTTTAACTTTTATGAGAGTTAGTTCAAAATGAGCGAAAGCAAAAAAAATACTCAGTTTGTCAATTTATAACTGATCTGATCTGACTCTGATAACAGATCTAGATTTGGTCAATCTTGTTTATTATGTAAAGTCAATCGGAAATGTTGATTGATTAAAAAGTCACATTCGCTGATTGCCACGTGAATTCTTCTTTATATATGTGAAATGACAAACAAGCTGACCTGTGAGATAGTGGAAATCATGATTACCACGATGAAATTTGATAGAACTTGAATGATTACAAGTTTTTTTAATGAATGATAATAGAATGGTGCACTGCACCCGCCTGCGCTAACGGTTTACGTAGGCGGGGCACCAATGGAGTATGATAGGATGAACATGAGGTCAGGTCAGTTAGCTTATCGTGACAAATTCACTAGGAATTTATATATTATACATGGCCAGCAATGGGGTCATCAGTCCAACTTACTAAAAATCTCTCTAATTACAATATTCTCACTGAAATGTGGGTATGACAATTGTTGCGTTTACCATAATATCAACAATTGGCAATTAGGTGTTACGTGCGCATTGCCAACACTTAAGAAAACTTAAGTCAAAGAAAGCTGACTAAGAAAGCTTAATTTTTGAAAAACCCTATGCTGTAGTCTCCTGAGAAAACTTCGACGGGTAGTTTATTTCACAATTTAATTATACATACGAGGAAGCTACTCTGAAAGCGCACTGTTCAAGACCGCTTAGGTTCCAGCGTGTGGGGATAAATTCCTCGCCGATAGCAAGCTGTGTGATGGTAAAAGTAAGGTAGGATTATAGTTGTAAAGAAGGATACTACTTTAAATTTCAGTAACGGAACGTGAAGTGATAAACGGGGTTCTTAATGTGAAGAACACAAAGAACCACTGCCTGGCTTACGTCAGATACATCAACAACATCAACCTTCAGAACCTGAAGAAGGCTAGCAACTTCGTGGATATCTTGAATAGAAGTCTTGACACTGAGGCTTCTAAGTTGTTGGCTGACTTGCGAGATGTAAGATTGCCAGCAAAAATTGAAACTACTAATATACAAAAGTGAGTGTCCAAATAAATAACTGTAGAAGTTTCATCCGCGGTTTAATTTGCTGTAAGATAAGAACTAAGTGCCAGTATCCTTATATTCCTAACTAATTTTATATTTATATATAACAAAAACCTTTCAACAAACATTCTATATAGAAATTTATAATATTATATCTATTTACATGTGAAGGAAGGAAGGTGAAGAATCGGGACTATTTTCATATTTAGATTGTAGAAGTATATACAAATTATAAATATACATAAGAAGTATATTTACAAGAGGATTCGGTCTCGAATGCCATTGTTATTCTTCTTGCTCCATCGTAACTAGGCAATGGTGTTGGCGCACGATGATAGTAAATTCGCTACAAAGTTAAAACTTTATATATTAGTACAGTTGGTAGATCGATCTACCAGGTGTCCTTCCACAAACATATGCAGTCTCTGACTGCGCGGCAACAAATACTCGTAAAATAATGCTACCCACGGACCGGAAATTCAATCTAGCGCACTGTTAAAGAACAATGCGCATACCGAATCCTGGAAAAAGATGTCCGGAAAATATAGACAGTCTCTTGCCGAATATGAGGAATATATGATGGTAAATACAGGTGGTTTATTTTACAGAGTAATTTTTCTGAACTCTTCCATAAGGAATGTAGGTATAAATAATTATTTAATTTTGAATCGTTTTCCTTGCAGCTACACAGTAGAATGGATCGGTCGGGATGGCCTCGACAATGAGACACACGGCGAATACCTTAATCATTTCATATCACATTTCTACAAAAACATTATCAAATTGGTGGACAGGTATTGCCTACATTTAATTAAAAATATCATAACATTGCACTGAATATATAATAAACTACATGTTGCTAATTTTAGAGCAATGAGGAAAGAAGATAGCAGTGCCCAGGGTGTAATAGTGACGGAGATACTTCAACATCTCCACGCTTGTAATAACTCCGTGAAGGTTTTCCACGGAAGAGCCGAAGACTTGGAGTACATTGAGAATTATATGAAGAATACATCTGATAAGCCACTCGTGTTATTTGGAGAAGGTATATTTTATTTAAACCTAAATATAATATATTTCTTTCAGTGCGATTCCTCCTGAGACTTGGGCCATAGTGGACAATTCTCCAGGGTTTAAAACACCATTTTTAAATCGTCTCTAATGCTTAATAATTTATTATTATTTTTATGTTATGTTTTTTACTTTGAGAGAAATGCTAACGACCCAACTCATGGAAACCATCTAGTCGCATATATGTATAAACAGCACCACGGATACTATGTCGTCATGAAGTCCCTGGGGCGTGGCCTTTCTGGAGGGCAACTTGTACAATATATATATATATATATATATATGTATGTATATATAATATATCTCATTATTAGCACAGGCAGACTCGTATCTCTAGCCTTACCTTAAGAATTGCCTACTTCATAGCATAATATGATTATCCTAGTTCGGATATAAATGTTCTTTTAAGGTGGTTGTGGCAAAACCAGTCTTCTGTCTAAAAGTGCCGCCATGTGCTTGGAGTCCTGGTTCGCAGAGGTACGTTCAACGAACATCGTTAGGTTCCTGGGAACAACTCCCGACTCCAGCGCCTTGACTCCAACCTTGATATCCATATGTCAGCAGGTAAGTGCCAACTATTTTATAGCGTATAATGGGTGGTTGGATGAACTTTCTAAAATACATATCATAGTAGGTTTATATTACATTAACACATATTGTAACATTTGTAACATTAATGTTGATTGGTCCGTTGTCGTCGTTATCCCTGTAGAGTTACTCCATATATCGTATATATTATGGTGTTGGCTACATTTGAACTCTGGAACTCTTGGGTACAAGTCTATGTAATAACCCATTATGCCACGAAGTTTCCTAACGATGAAAACTATTAAGTAAAAAATATATTCTCTTATTACAGATTTCCTACAATTTCGCCTTGCCCTTTGAGAGTATACCGGATGATTTGGTACCCTTGACTGCCCATTTCAAGCAGCTCCTCACTATGGCCACTCAGCAGCAGCCTCTTCTCCTATTCTTGGATTCCGTGGACCAGCTGACTGGAATAGGTACTGAGAACAATAAGGTTTCCTGGCTACCAACTCGTTTACCACCTCACTGCAAGGTATGTTTTTACATTTTAGGATACATTCAAAACCTTCCTACCTATTGTCTACGCACAATAACAAAAAATATTTTTTTATTTGTGAAGTATTACGTGATGAGAATCTTTGTGTTCTTGGTAATTTGGTATTTTCTATGTATTCATGTATTTATATATTTTTCTGTTATACACTCAGTCATCACTAGGTTTCCAAGCTCTATTCAATGCCTAATAATGCCGCGTTCACAGGCGAAACTCTGATGTAGATTCAATAACGATTGGAATTTGATTATCAGTAGAGTAAAACGTAATGCTTCCAGTAGCGGTGATCAGATTTCTGTATTGAATATTTGTGCTCACACATGCGGAACTAACCAAAATTATATAAATCTATTAATGAAGTGGACTTCCGCAACGATTTTTGGGGACAGTCGGACTGTCCAGATTACCATAAAGCTAGAACCTATTTTCCATTCCAGTTACATATATAATAAATTAAGAATTGTCTCCAATTCTTCAGATAATAGTTACATGTGCTCGTGAAGAAGCAAACCCTGAGGTATCCAAAGAGTATGATGTGCTACGCCGCATGATTGATTCTGAAGAGAATTTCCTGGAAGTTACGGCATTAGGAGAAGATCTAGCTATGCAGGTTTTGAAGTAAGTAAATTTTTTCTTTTACCTATAAGTCATGCGCCATCGGCCACCTTCTGTCTTTTCCTCTCTACCCAAAGGTTGCCAGGAAGAGATACCTCAAGCAATAAGATAGTCTTTTATACCTTCATACCGAGTATATTCTGTTTTATTTTATATTTATTTTAAAGGTGCAATAAAGAGTTATAAATAAATAAATATACTAAATTACGTTACATTCATCTACAGTTTCATACTTTCTTAGTTGTATTGTTCAGGCTGTGGATGGCATCGGCAGCTCGGGACTTGTCTAACTACCAATGGCGGCTGGTCTCCAACGCCATCAGTTCTTGCTCCTTGCCTATCTTCGTGAAATTAGTATTTGCTGAGGTAACATCATTTAATATACTTTTGTTAGTCGGTTCCTCGTATAATGCCATTGCTGTCTGAGTCACTGTTAATAAGCCGCCAACTTGTGACCTTCTTTTGGTCTTGGACAGTGTCAACATAAAATAGTATTAATTTATCATTACATTTATTAAATTATTTATTAATTCCATCGTTTATTATGTCATCATTAGGTCTATCTTCAATTTCTTTCTTATCTACATAATGTTCTTTACTTAGGTGTGCAGATGGCGTAGCTACACTAAACCCCAGGATACCCACCTTGCTTCGACCGTCATGGACTCAATAATGATGCTCTTTGAAAGAATCGAAAAGCAGGTTAGTATTACTTTTTACTAACTTCACGATTCATACTTCACCATATTTAGTTATGTCGTTATGTCTTTTTTTTTTCTTCCTTTAACTGGGTTAGATTTTGTACAATGTCGTTGGTGTTGGTTTCTCTATTTCTCTTACCTATCTCTCCCACCACGTTGATTACTTTAAACCTGCATTTTGGTTTGATAGATGAGATAAAGCAATGACGTTACGGAGGACTGAGCCTTTAGTCTATGCATATTGGTGGATCAATTTATTTTAAGATGTCTGTATCGTTATTCATGTCTATAGGCGAACAAGGGCCGTGTTTTTTACTATTCAAAAGAAAGGTAAAGCATTACTCATTGTACAATTAACCTGATATTGAAAACTTATTCAGTCCGTAAGGACTTTGCAGACGACGTCTTTCGATTGGCGCATTACCGAAGAGGGCGGGGCGTAGAAACCAATGAACCAATAGAACGGCGTCGTCGGTTAGAGCGGTTCGACTCATGTCGGAAATATACGGATTCTTTTATAACTTAGTTTACATTTTAGCATGGTCGTCTCTTGGTCTTCCACGCATTGGCTTACATAACAGCAGCACGCAGTGGACTTTCAGAGACAGAACTTGAAGATTTGATATCATTGGACGATAAAGTATTGGATGATGTTTACCAGTACCATTTACCACCTGTTAGGCGAATACCACCTTTATTGTGGACGAGGTAAGGACGGTTATCCTTGCTCTTAAGTCAATATAGACATAGACTCCATCTTCGTTTGAATATCGTATAATAATGCTAAGCTTAATATTTATTGTACTATAACAAAATTTGTTGTAATACTTTAATAGGCTTGATGGCCTAGCAGCTTTGCACATCGTATAGCCTTCAATGGTCGTAAATTTGATGTTCGCATTTTTTGTAATTCAATAGTGACAAAAATATTTATATCGATTTAGCTATTACACCTCAACTTCACGCGCTTTTTAAGAATATATATGCCGTCGGTCATCATGATATAATTTGTATCAAATTTAATTAAGATCCGTTCTTCGTCACTTCAGGTCAATCGCGAATTCGTAGCAAATAGACAGATAAACTTACTTTTGTAAATATTGCTTTCAGAATCCGAAATGATCTACCCAATTATTTATCGGAGAGAGAAGCGGACGGCGTATCTGTAATGAATTGGTACCATAGACAATTCCGGGATACCGCTAGAGAGAGATACTTCAAGAATATGAACATGGCTATGTACTTCCATTCCATGATCGCGGATTACTACCTTGGTAAGACTCATATTAATTATATCGGATCGCTTGTGTATATTATACAGTGATGCTTATTATTTATTGTATACTGTTCTTAAGTTAAAGAACTTCAAATGAATTGCAATATATGGACTGTAACATTAAATGATTTACCTATATCTAAATATATATAACTCAAAGGTGACTGACTGACATAGTGATCTATAACGAACGCACAGCCCAAACCACTGGACGGATCGGGCTGAAATTTGGCAAGCAGGTAGATGTAATGACGTAGGCATCCGCTAAGAAAGGATTTTCATTCATTCTACGCCCCAACGGGATAAAATAGGGGATGAAAGTTTGTATGAAACTTTGTCAATTTTTAACGGATCGGGCTGAAACTTTGCATGCATAAGGCTACTATGACATAGGCATCCCCTAACAAAGGACCAGGCATTTGAGAGTGATAAATTGAAACCAAAACCCCTAAGGGTTGGATAAATTTACAGGGCACACTCAATATATGTAAACGCATGGAATGAACTATTATCAATCGAAAATTTTCAAAACTTCGATTTTTTTATAGCCAATTTGCAACTTTTATTTCGGGCAAATGCTAGTATCTATATAGACGCACGAGTCGTTTTCGGTGGCGAGATGTGAAGTTCGGTTCAGTGCTATACTCGCCCCTATAGTTTGGTAAAGCTGTAAAGACCAGCGGAGACCAACAACATTAAAATACTTCGATAAAAAAAAATGTTTTGCAATGCATTTAGTACGAATAACTTAAACGAATGTAATGTATGAATGCAAAAAACCCAAAGTCATAGCCATACAAAACAAAATTATGCCCACCATTCTGATAGGCATTATTCTGACGTTTCGTCTGACCGTCCAGCGTCTTGCAGCGTTTTTTCATGGCCAAACTTGACTCTATTCTCTCAGTGGGAAGTAGATTGTATGATGTTGTTCACCAGCCAACAGGAAAGAGTAATGGTAGTAAGACGCCCAGTTTCGAAAGTGGTATCTAACACGTGACAAAAACGGGTGAAGTTACTATTTTCGAAGCGTGGGCTCATAAAAGCGGAAAATACGATCGATGGTGTTGCGTCAAGGATTTCGTCTTAGCGAGTGAATGATGAGAGCGGGATGTAAGAATATAAGATGTGTAAGATAAAGATCATAAATTTATAGTTGGTATAAATGACCTTTAAGGCCAAATTATTGTTACTTGTACCTAAAAGTTAGTGTCTACTTTCTCTTTCTATTGTTTTAGGAATCTGGGGAGGTGGAATACCAAAGCCTTTTAAATACACTGAGATCCAGCGTCATCGCTTCAATTTAGCGGACAAGGAGGGCGTGGCTGACAGAAAGGTTCCCATACAGCCTCTGGTGTTCACCTCAGCTGATGGGTCTACTAAAAGATATAATTTGAGAAAGGTTTTACAATTTTTTTCTTTCTTCGATTTTCTTTTCAATTTCAATACAAATCAAAGAATTTAACTATACCTAGCAAATTACGTACAACATGATGTCACAATTAACAACTGCCGACGTCTTAACCTCTAACTGTTCGTCGACCATCCTGAATAACTGTCGTCACAGTGTTATTATTACTATTTATATGTAATTATTTTATAGTTTGGTGAGCTGCCGTTCCATTTGGTCCGCTCCAAGCGTTTCACTGATCTATATGCGGAAGTACTGTTCAACTATGAATGGCTCCACGCTAAACTCAACTGCTGTCCATTGCAAGCACTGTTAGCTGACTTTGAAGATGCTAAATTGTTCGTCAATAAAGACGCCGTAAGGTATTAATTACCTGTTTTTTTTCTTACTCTTTCTCTGAAGCATCGGGCTTCCTAAACTATGGTTGAACATAATGATAGCTCGTGTAGTCGTGAACGGGTGGTGCTACTTGTAGGGATTGGTTTGCTCTGATCACTATTACTAATTTACTTTGTTACTTAAGTAACTGTATATTTAATATTTTATTCTTCAAAATTGTATATTAATTAAAATATATAGTAATTTGTATACATACAAGCTTTTAAAAGTGTATAGTTGAACAACATTTGGTTAAAAGAACAGCAAGCATGTTTCTTACTTATTATTCTGTGCTGAAAAAAATATAGCAAACGAACAAACATTTACTTTCAGAGAACTAATGCTGGTAGCTGATGCCTTACGTCTGGGTGGTGCTATACTAGGAACCTACCCTGATATGCTTGCACCGCAGTTAGTTGGCAGGCTGCTACCTGAAGCGCCACATAATCCGGCAGTTGCTTCTTTGTTGAAACAATGCCATGATAAAGGAAAAAACCACTGCGCTTTATTACCATCTCATCACTGTTTACACACTCCTGGAGGACCCTTGAAGGTACATTATAACTTGTTTTGTAAGCTATGTTTTAGTTTCAATAAGAGAAGTGTGATTGCAGTGGATTACAGGTCTATGAGGAATAATACTGTAGACCTTGTTAATGATAAAACTAAAGAGGTACCACAGATGTCATATGACAATTTCTGTGGTGCCAGTCATGTAAGCAGCGGCAGCCATTTGGCATCTTCTTTATTCCAGATACAAAGAAAGGACAGAGAATTTTAACTCAGCTTCCCTCATTTTTAGACTCTAAACAATTGTGAATTTTGAATTGAATTTACACGAAAAATGTAATGTGTCAATTTTTTTCTGAATGACTCTCCGGTGACGGAAGAACTGATGACAAATTTTAGTAAATTCGACAGACGATCGCTGTTTTGCTCTCTGCTACATTGGACTTTAATTTAAAATACTCGGTGAAACGTCAAGTGTTGCGTGTATTAATAACAGCCTTAAAGGTACATGTATGGTGTAACGTATTGTTTCTCAGTTTTGATATGAATTGTCCTGCAATACTTTTCCTATAATCTTATCATCCGTCGTGCCCCTGTTTACTTTTATTACCATGTCTTGTTCACAGTACTCACTAGAAGGACATCAATTTGCTGTTTTTGCGTTTCGCTTGAGTTCTGACAAACGTTACGTAGTATCCATTTCAAGTCGGGTCATATCCTGGGATCTATCCACTTCAGATCTGGCAAGGGATCTCTGTCCTCAATTGGAAGGAATCATGCAAAATCTTGAACTATCGCCTGACAATAAATGGGCAGCTGCGTCTACTAATAACTCTGTAGTAAGTATATTTTTGACTGACGTAGACTTTGTAAAAAGACTACTGCGTGGGTAACTTAGCCAAACGCCTCAAATTTCAACCGCCTTAATTTTCAAGTAGTTTCATTATTTTTAATCTTAGATTTATTTACGAAGTTTTGCATAAGTTGGGCTGAATACCGGTTTGTAAGGTAAGAGTAAGATATGGCAGTAAAATCAGTGTACAAGGCGTGAGGTGTGATACCAAAGTCCTCCGAAAACATAACGGGTGATGCATTGTTATTCTGGAGGACTATGGTTCATCACATCATATGGCGACGTAGTGCCATCTATTTACTATTTACTATAAGGTGAACCGTTGTCTTCTTTGCTATTTCTGCTGCTGTCTTTGGTGGTTTACCCTATTCGACTAATCCTACATATTCTAAATTATTTTATTAATAAATATATGAGTTTAAATTCATGAATAAATCTTGTGAGGACAGTTGTTAGTTAATAAAGATATATGCATTTATTTAAACGATATTCTATTAATTTCAGTCGATGCTACTAAATATGCTAACCAGTGAATACGTCACCATCGACAATCCTCTCGATGAAGGTATAGTATCAATTTCTTTTGTTACTACTAAAAATATACGAGAAATCATAATCTGTATAGATTATGATTTCTCGTATATTTTTAGTTTGCCATAGGATGCGATAAGACAGTGAATTACAGGATAAGAGACATAGCATCTTAAACCTCTAGAATGAATGGAATGAATGGATGAGTGATGACACGGATGTCACATAATAACACGATGTCAGATAGATTGATATTTACTTTATTTCTACTGATATAACCATTCTAATAACATATATTAACCAGTAATAACTAGCTGTATACCGCAACAATAGAATAGAGCTCATCTTAGACGTTTTCTATAAGTGCAGAGAATTATCAACAGAATGTATTGTATGTATTCTTAAGCCTCCGTGGCCTAACGGTTTAGCATACCATTGTATTTCCACAGTCGCGGGTTGTATTCCTCGCACGATATAAACATTTTTTTATTGATGATAATGGAATAGTGCGCCCGCCTGCGCTAACGGTTTACGCTGGCGGGGCACTGGTGAAAGATGATCAGATGAGCATGAGGTCAGATCATTTAGCCTATCGTGACAAATTCACCAAGAATTTATAACGATAGTTTCCAGGGGGAACCGCGTGGAGGTCAACCTGACATTGTTACATTGCTAGCAATAAAATCATCAGTCATTACTTCCTATACAATCCCCTTTGCTCCCCGGTATAAATAATTATATTCGTGGGTACGGTTGCTTGTATGGAAAATTTACAAGACCATGATCCGGCCTGCTGTCTTGTATAGATCAGAGTGCTGGCCCGTAAAGGCGACGGATGAAAGACGACTGCATGCAACTGAAATGAGAATGTTGAGGTGGATGTGTGGTGTGACAAGAATGGATAAGATAAAGAATGAATACATTAGAGGAAGTATGAAAGTGGCACCGGTGTCAGAGAGGTTGAAGAGTAATCGTCTATCATGGTATGGACATGTAATGCGTAGGAATGAGGATAATATTTTAAGAAAGGTGTTACATATGAATGTGGATGGTTATAAGGGCAGAGGAAGGCCGAAAAAGAGATGGATGGACTGTGTGAAAGATGATATGGTAAGAAAGGAAGTAAATAACGCGATGACTGCGAACAGGGATGAATGGAAGCGAAAAACATATTACGCCGACCACAAATAAATGGGATAAGGAAGAAGCAGATGATAATGATGATGGTTGCTTGTATTGATCTGGGTGTATCTTATGTATATTTTATAAATCCCAATCTCCCAAGCTTCGAATTCTGGAACTAAGCAGATTAAATATCTGCTTAGTTTGGGACTAAGTTTATTCGTCATCATTCAGGTTTATTATTATTATTATTATCTATTACAAAGGCAAAAAATTTTAGCAATTAGATAAAAACAATACAAATCTTATGCATTATAATGCATTGCATTAAACTATGTTTCTAAATTAGTTTCGTTCATATAATAGTACATATGTTATTGTACTTCTAGGTGAAACAGTACGTGGAGTATATGTCCTGAATCACCACATGTTCATCTATGGACCAAGGTCTTGGGTCCAATATTCCATGCGTGGTGAACACGAACAAACACTACCAGCTCCGGACTCCGCTCCCTATGACGATGTCAACTGGGAGATACTTTGTAAGGCCGAGTCCTCTTAATTGTTTTTATTGATTATTGATATATAGGTAAATGTTGGACATCAAGGTATGGGGACAAAATGAGACGAATTTCTTAGCATTCCATAGATTCACCTTGTGAGTGCCGAGTACATCGTGTGAGAGAGGGAAACTTCGAGCAGTTCCCGTAACTTGTAACCCGGGTGTAGATTTAAGAGTTCCCTTGCCGACGTACGGCAACACTCACCTTCACCTCTCGTATTTCTCTTCCTGCCCATCCAAATCTGGTTCTAGTATAGAACCCACTGCAATTCTAGACAGCCAAGATATATCAGAAGATTGTAGAGACATTAACGTTAATAAATTATGACGAATTTACTGCGATGGTTTTCCATGGGGATCGCTTAGACCTATCATGATACAAGTTGTAAATGTGGCTCTAGTCTTTATTTCATTAATCAAATCAAATTAAACCGTGCTTTTATATGTTGTTAGCGCATGATACTAGGGGCTGTATTTATAGTCGGTTTGTGGTATATAAAAGTAGTATATTAAAATAAAAGCAAATTTCAGATATATAAAGTATGTAGAACAGTATAAATTAATTAGGAATCAGGAGTACAACAGTTTATCAGGATGTCTGCAGAAGAAGCCATTTTGTAGTTTATATTTAATCGAATTTGGTGTTATTTTGCGGAAGTCCAATTCACTACTTGATGGATTTATGGAATTAAACAAAATAATATAAATACATCAAGTATTTTGTAGTTCGTTATTTTTTTATTCCCGCGAAAACGTAATGCACCACAGACGCAGAATGTTGCACGGTGCGCAGATGCAATAGGATGACGAGCGCATCATGGCAGTATGCGCGATGTTGAACTATGAATATTAACATATGTGTTATATTTCCTTAATTCAAATTCAAAATATTATCCGGTAATTTATTTAAAAACGGCTATTATACAATCCCCCATGAAATATGTATTAGGGTTGCCGATTTGAACTGAAAAATTGCCGTTTTTTATAAGATATTAGATAATATAAATAATCTAGACACGCGGTAGCGTGTCAAGCCGAGTTTCAAGTAAGAGAACTGGAGCACCGTGTGTATATTTACACGAACCATTTGGAGCCACTTTTGACCCCCTCATAACTCAAAAACTCTTTCACATAAACCTGTCAAATTTGGTTCATATATTGAGACTTGCGAGATAAATATGTGTTCCAAATTTCATAAACATATCTCAAACGGTTATTTAGATATTAATGTCCAAATATCGTCATTTTTATCACTGATCAACTATAGATCAAAATTATAACCCACTTCCAGATGACCTAGGAAGTTCAAATTTGGCATGCAGATAAGTAATTTGGTAAATATAAAGGAAAAAATCTGAAACTGGTAAATTGTTATCATATTAATTACCACATAACACAAGCTCTGCTTAGTTTGGGACTAGACACCTCTATGAGGATTGTCCTGAGTTTGTCATTTGTTTATTAACATCTCAAATTAGTCTTTTTCCTCTAATTTTTTCAGCAATGGAATTTCGAGACCTAGAAAACTTTGTACTGGTGATGTGGAGTGGAGACCTTGATGAGGACAGGCTACTGGTGCACTTCTGCAGAGCTGGTGCGTGGATGAAGCCACTTCGGTGCAGAGGAGCGATGGCATTGAACAAGAACTGGTCGAGGATCTACACCAGTGACACAGATAGGGGTTATCAGGTTTAAAATAGAAATAATCTTTATTCAAATAATATAAGTTACATTACTGATGTCTAGTCATATATTTCAAACAGCATCCTAAAAACTGTTGCGAATATACCTGATTGTCCGCTCCAGAGGCACTGGATACCGTTGCATTGTGGACCCAGTGCTTCTGGACGTGGACACATATATGAATTAAATATATTTTGTAGTTTTATAAGTGTTTTTAATAACACAATATGGATGTAATATATATAAAATTAAAATAAATAAATAAAATTACATTTCAATAGTCATATATTTTCGACGACCTCGGTGGTCTAGCGGTCTGACACACCGCTTTACGTCCGATGGTCGCGGGTTCGATTCCTCGCACGGCACAAACATTTGTATTCAAGAGTATAATTGTTTGTATCGGTTTGGGTGTGTTCTATGTATAATATGTATGTATTTACGAAAAAAATCTATGTATTTGTATCAGTTGTCTAGTACCCATAACACAAGCTTTAGGTAGCTTAACTTGGGTCTAGATGGCGCTGTGTGAATTGTCCTGAGATTATTATTGTTATTATTCCTCGGCCTCGGTGGTCCAGTGGTGTAACACACCCGGGCGAAGCCGGGTCGATTAGCTAGTAATTATATAATTATACAAAATAATAATTTACAGATTACAATATTTGAGCTTAATGAAGATGAATTATGTTGGGTGAAAGCGCAAGAGTTAACGCATAAAGAAACTGATACGGCTGAGGCGATGCTGCAGCTCAAAAGAGGGAAGAAAGACCGTATGTTGCTAGGTAAGAAATATTGAATATTGACTCTATTCATATTATAATTATTATATTTACTATAGTCAAATCTCTATGTATAATAATAATAATAATAAGATTCTGCCTGCATTGTACACCGGTTTCTCTCCCTGGGCCCTGAACCCCGGCCGACTGTGCTTCTGCCGGGGGTATGTTGCCATCTCCTCTCCTTAAGAGGGGAAAAAAAAAATAATAATAATATTTTATTTATTTCTCCTCATAAACATTGTACATAATATATTGCATAGATTTATTATTACAATCAATTGTTGTGAGAAGCTGGCGTCTGCATAACTATCTTTATTTTTTTACATATACGTCGATTAAATAGAAAAATGACATTTTTCAAAATTAGAACCTAGAATTGGATCCTTTTATATAAGTCAATTAAATCAACCACGCCGTCTTAATCATTATCTAAATAATTTTAAAATGATATAATACTTCTGTGTAAATTTAAAAATTTATAGGAGAAAATAATTTAACTAAATAAAAAAAAAAACTTTGAAAGAAAGAAAAATATTTTATTCAGTGCAATGTAAAAAATACAATATAAACAACAAACGAAAAAAAAGAGCAAATAAAATGTACATATAATTAAACTTAATTTACCATAATTAAAAATAAACATAAAATAAATGTCTTTTAAAAAATGTACATATTAAATAGTGCCATTTTTCTATTTAATCGACGTATATATATATATATATATATACTACTATATATACTAATGCCGGTTGGCAAATAGATCTGCAGAAATTAAAAAAGATACAATTTCTCCAATATTTTTTTCGTTTCCAAAGTTTTATGTTCATTTTTAAAATAATGTATAAGTTGATATGAATAATGGCTACAATAATAATACATACATTAATAATGTAACTGAATGGGAAACAATTTGGTAATAACGAACTGTCATCTATGCTCACTGCTTTACTTTCGGTGGTCGCTGGTTCGATACCTCGCGCGGTACAAACATTTGTATTAACTAATACGATTGTTTGTTTTGGTCTGGGTATTTTCTATGTATAATATGTATATAATTACAAAAAAAATATCTATGTATATGTATCAGTTATCTAGTACCCATAACACAAGCTTTAGCTAGCTTAACTTTAGTCTAGATGGCGCTGTATAAATTGTCCTGAGATTATTATTATACACTACCGGTACAAACATTTCTATTAATGAATATGATTTTTTGTATCGGTCTAGGTATTTTCTTTGTCTATTCAGTATGTATTTACAAAATAATATTTAAATATCTGTATCAGTTGTCTAGTACCCAAAATACAAGCTCTGCTTAGCTTGTGACTAGATGGCGCTGTGTTATATGTCCTGGCTTATTTTAATTATCATTCTCCAGCAACTACTACGTACAGCTTTGTAGTTTGGGACTTTGATAATGTAATATCCAGAGAGAATCACGAAACAGAGACTAAGAAGAAACAAGAAGAAGAAGAGGATAAAAAAGAAGATGATTTGGTATGTATAGTTTTTTATATTGACAGCCTCGGTGGTCTAGTGGTTTAGCATACCGCTTTACTATCCGATGGTCGTGGGTTCGATTCCTCGCACGGTACATTTGTATTCATGAGTATGATTGTTTGTATCGGTCTGGGTGTTTTCTATGTATAATATGTGTTTATTTACAAAAAAAATGTATCCATGTATTTATATCAGTTGTCTAGTATCAATAACACAAGCTTTAGGTAGCTTAACTTGGGTCTAGATGGCGCTGTGTGAATTGTCCTGAGATTATTATTGTTATTAGGCCTTCGGCCTCGGTGGTCCAGTGGTGTAACACACCTCTTTACTTCCAACGGATTTTGAAGCCGTTTTTTTAATATATAGAGTGATTCCAGAGGAAGCTTATATGTATAATACGTGTCAGAGAGGTTGAAGAGTAATCGTCTATCATGGTATGGACATGTAATGCGTAGGAACGAGGATAATATTTTAAGAAAGATGTTACAAATGAATGTGGATGGTTATAAGGGCAGAGGAAGGCCAAAAAAGAGATGGATGGACTGTGTGAAAGATGATATGGTAAGAAAGGAAGTAAATAACGCGATGACTGCGAACAGGGATGAATGGAAACGAAAAACATATTACGCCGACCCCAAATAAATGGGATAAGGATGAAGCAGATGATGATGATGTACACCCGGGCGAAGCCAGGGCGAGTAGCTAGTAATTATATAATTATACAAAATAATAATTTTATTTAATACAAGCTCTGCGTAGATTGGGACTAGATGGCGCTGTGTGAATTGTCCTGAGATTATTATTATTATTATGTAGGTAGCATGGCAAAGAAGATAAGCCCACCCGACGCTAATCACTTGATACTTTCCTCCACATGGAAAGCATGTGATATAATCATGTTATCATTCTAGAGAATTAAGTTATCATACCTATGTAGACTGTTCGTCACGATGGACTAACTGACCTGACCTCATACTCATCTTATCATCCTCTACTGGTGCCCCGCCAGCGTATACCGTTAGCGCAGGCGTGTGTACCATACCATTATCATCCGTAAAAAAAATGGACTGCCGAACCCATTGTTGGCTGTGTATCCTGTTGGGTTGACCTCCACGCGGTTCTCCCTGGAAACCATAGTGATTGGTAGTTTGGTGAATTTGTCACACATAACTGACCTAACCTCATACTCATCTTATCATCCTTCAGTGGTGTCCCGCCAGCGTATACCGTTAGCGCAGGCGGGTGCACCATACCATTATCATCTCTACGAAAAGAAAGATGTACTTGACTTGAACTGAACTTGTACAATAAAACACACAATACAAGAAAAAAAAACATTGCAACAATTACATATGGTATATGTAATACACTCATATATATACATACATAAATACATACAATTTATGTAATTATTACTTTCAGGATGAAAAACAAGATGAAGTACAAGAAAAAGATTTTCGTTTTGAAGGAATAGTTCTAAAATTGCCTCACACAATCCGAAATATATCTACCAAAATGACACTGTCCAATTCTTTTATGATCAGCAATAATAATACATACGCTGTCGCTGGCGTTAGGTAAGATTCGAAATTTTATTGTATACTAGCTGTACACGCGACTTCGTTCCCGTGGAAATTAACTTTCTTTTCTAAAATAAAAGTAGCCTAAGTACTCCTTATTACATCAGCTACCTGCCAAAAAACGTCCCGTCAAAATCGGTCCAGCCATTTCAGAGATTAGCCGGAACAAACAGACAGACAAAAATTGTAAAAAATGTTATTTTGGTATATGTATCGTATTTATATTCATATGCATGTAGTAAAAAAACGGTTATTTCTATATTACAAACAGACACTCCAATTTTATTTATATGTTTATTTACAACAAGCTGTTCCCGCGTCTTCGTCCGCATGGAATATAACTTTATTTTTCTACTATAAAATATTTTTTTGAAAATAAAAGTAGCCTAAGTTACTCCTTATTACATAAGCTACCTTCCAAAAAACGTCCCGTCGTCAAAATCGGTCCAGCCATTTCAGAGATTAGCCGGAAGAAACAGACAGACAGACGAAAATTGTAAAAATGTTATTTTGGTGTATGTACCGTATTTATATTCATATGTATGTAGTAAAAAATGGTTATTTCAATATTACAACAATAAACTAGCTTTATCCTGCGGCGCTGTTCTTGTGGTATATAGCTTATATAATAATTCTATAGACGGATTCGGTGATATAGCAGTAGGGCCGCAACATGTAGCACCGCTTTTCTTCCGATGGTTGCGGGTTCGATTCCTCGCACAGTACAAACATTTGTATTAATGAGTATGATTGTCTGGATGTTTTCTACGGACTATAACTATAATTATCTATGCTGTTAGCACCTGATAAGCGAAAGCATACAATGATAAGGCGTATTTAAACGATATTGCTTATACTTTTGTATGGCTATCACATTTTCACTTTTTATAACGTAATTGTTTAATATTTGTTTTAGTTTTGTGTGTATATGTACACAACATACTTGTTACAATATTAGGTTATGAATTTGTACCAGGTAAATATATTTAACCTGATGGTTTAGTGGTAGTGGTTTGGATTACCTTACTTCCGATTATCGCGGGTTCAATTTTCGCATGATATAAATATTTGTATTTATGGCTATGATAGCTTGTATTGAGCTGTGTGTTTTACAAAAAAAAAAATATTTAAGCATTTCCACCAGACGGCCTCGGTGGTATAGCGGTTTAACACACCGCCTTACTTCCGATGGTCGCGGGTTCGATTCCTCGCACGGCACAAAAATTTTGTATTCATGAGTAAGATTGTTTGTGTCGGTCTGGGTGTTATGTATGTATTTACGAAAAAAAATCTATGTATTACTATCAGTTCTCCAATCTCTGAAATGGTTGGACCGATTTTGACGGGACTTATTTTGGCAGGTAGCTGATGTAATAAAGAGTAACTTAGGATACTTTTATTTTAGAAAAATAAAGTTTAATTCTATTGTTTATTAAAATTGCTTCTTTTTCCAGAAAGAATCTGTACGTTTGGAGTTTGGAGACGACGAAACTGATCAAGGTGTTGGATGCCCACTTTGGCAGAATAGTACAGCTGGAGCCGTTGACCGTCGGCACATGGAACAACGTGATCACCTCCTCAATAGATCGCACCGTGAAGATATGGAACATTGATAATATTTTTGAGCAGGTCCATAAAATTGACCGGCAGGAATTACCAATTGACTCTATCAGGTAAGTTTTTTTTATACCACTACGGTGGTACAAGCATACGGCCCATCTGATGGTACATGGTTACGTAGCCGTAGTATGGACGTCTGTAACACAAGGGGTGTTACGTGCGCGTTGCCGACCCTTAAGAAACCTTAATATACCCTTCTTGAAAAACCCCATGCTGTAGGATCGTGAAAAAAGTGAAAAATAATAAATTATTTTTCGATGGCGCTAATATTGATTTTGATTATCTTTGGGATATCAAATTAGTACGTATTTATTTCCTTTTAGGTTACGGAGAGGTTATTATAGGTAGTAGAACCATATTTGATATGAATACGAGCTGAGTTTCTTGTCAGTTTTTCTCATCTCGAAATAATTCCGAACTGACGGTAGATTTGACATATCATAAGAGTGTGTAATAGACCTACATGAATAAAAATATTTTGATTTTATTTGTAAATTTTTTATTATAATAATAATAATAATTTCAGGACAATTCACACAGCGCCATCTAAACCCAAGTTAAGCTAGCTAAAGCTTGTGTTATGGGTACTAGATAACTGATACATACACATAGATATATTTTTTTGTAAATACATACATATTATACATAGAAAATACCCAGACCGATACTAACAATCATACTCATGAATACAAATGGTTTGTGCCGTGCGAGGAATCGAACCTGCGACCATCGGTCGTAAAGCGGTGTGCTAGACCACCGAGGTAGTCTATATTATGATTTTATTGTTATTTGTTTATCTTTAAATTTTACAAAATGCAAATCTACTATAGGGGCAAGCTTACACGCTCGACCAATAATCCTTAAATGGATAATTTCATTAATTAAACCCGATTAACCTGACGGGCTCTGGGTCTATAAATTTAGCACATTGCTTTAGTTCCGGTGGTCACAGGTTCGATTCCTCGTACGGTATAAACATTTGTATTTATGAATATGAGTTTGTTTGTTTTCCTCTATGTATATTATGCGTGTATTTTCAAAAAATGTGTTACGCAAGCCTAGTATAGAAGGACTGCTGCATTTGCACTGTCCCCAATAAACATTGCACGCGGCACCAAATGCTTGATCAGCAATGAGCATCACGCCATATCGCGTCATGCCTATAGTTACATTTCATTTTTATAGAATTATATAAATCAATCATATTCTGTTCTAACATCGAACTATAAGCATTGTAATTATTATTTTATATTAATAAATTTAAGTTAAGAAAAAGGTTGGATTTTTTTTACAACCTCCGGCTGTAGAATCCATAATTGGCGCAGTCGGTAGGATACTCATAAAAATATATATATATATATTTGAGTATTCGAATTCTACGGGATTTCTACAGTGGAGTTATTCAAAAATTCGAAAGTGTATCAAGATCCGCCTGTACCTGCTCTACGTTCGAGTAATATGCAGTAAGTACTTAGAATCTTTCTCAGTCCTTACTTCCCATACTTTAATATATTTTAATATTATTTTATGTGTGTAATTTTAAGTATCCAAGATTTTTCATCCTAGAGAATCACGGAATATTAGGATAGGTAGTAGTAAGTCAAGTAATAGTAGAATTAATATTTTAGACCAACATAGAAATTTACATATAGAAATGAATAGCAGCGACATCGATACCATATATAAGTCCCTTAGGTTAGTGCCGGAATTCGACGGCAATCCACATATTTTAACAAGATTTATTAATATTTGTGACCAGTTAGTTTTAACACACTGTAATACTGAACCGGGCAATGAACTAGCTAATTTAGCGTTAATTAACGGAATCTTAAATAAGATTTCGGGACAAGCTGCTAGACTTATTAATTCTAACGGGTTACCAGAAAATTGGCAGGGTATTAGGAGTGCATTAATCAATAATTTTGCCGATCATCGTGATGAAACAGCTTTATACAGTGACTTATCTGTACAGACGCAAGGTTCTAGCACCCCCCAGGAATTCTACGAGCGTTGTCAAAATTTATACAGCACCTTAATGACATACATATCACTTCACGAATCAATTCAAACAACTATAGAGGCTAAACGCGCGCTTTATAAAAAGCTTACTCTTCAAGCGTACTTACGTGGTTTAAAAGACCCCTTGGGTTACAGGATACGCTGTATGCGCCCTGAAACCATAGAAAGAGCCCTTGAATTTGTTCAAGAGGAGCTCAATACCTTATATATGCAACAGCGCTATGAAAATACCGTACAAAAAAAGGATTGGCAACAAGCTCATAATTCGCATAACTTACCCCTAAATAACTTTATACCGAAATCCATTCCTTTCAATATGCCGGGACCGTCTAGACAACAGGGTTTCAATACACGGCAATCTACAACTCAACCGCAACCAAACCAAGGGTGGAAACATAATGTACCACCACACGGATTACCACCACGAGGTCCCACTCGTACTCAACAAATTATGCGCGCACCCCCACCAAACTATAACCCTCAAAGTAACGTATTCCGACTTCCTAACAGGCAGCCGCCTCAACAGTTTAATTTTAACAACTCGCCGCGCCCAATGAGTGGTGTTAGCACGTATGTCCCTAAAGTTTTACCTCCTTATGGACATGACTGGCGAAAATTCGGGAACCCGCCGCCTAGTAACTATTTTAAAACACGCGAAGCGAACTTCAACGAATTTTATCCCGCATATACCGATAATTATAGTGACATTTATTATTATCCGGAATACGAATATGAAAACTGTTATAATTACGACCAATATAATGATTATTACTTTAACACCGATTTCAATACCGATATGCCGGTAGTAGAAGAGGTTGAACAAGCATCAAATGTGCAGGACAATTCAAATTTTCAGGAAGCTATAACATCAGAAAAACCAAAATAGAGTTAAATTTCCATATACAAAGACAATTAGGGTATATTCAGATTAGTAATCCACCTCTTAAATTTTTAATTGATACGGGAGCAAATCAATCTTTCATCAGTCCAGAAGCTGTACAAAAGTATTTCAGTCACATTCCTCTTAATTACGAACCATTTGAAGTAACAAATGTACATGCTACCAGTAAAAATGATTACTCTATTAACTTGCCTTGTTTCCCAGAATTTAACGAAAATGATAATACAAAATTTTTTATATACAAATTTCACCATTATTTCGATGGATTATTAGGCTTTGATTTGCTTGACATATGGGATTCAAATATTGATTTAAAAAATAAATTACTAATCACTCGTAATACGCAGATACCTATACAGATGTATGATTCACGTAACGTAAATCTCTATGAAGAGATTATACCAGCAAACTCTTCAAAATTAGTTAGATTACCAGTAAATACCAAGGATGGCGATGTACTAATTGAAAATCAAATTATTTGTAACTGTTTAATTTCCGATTGCGTAACAAAAGTAGTTAATAATAGAGCTTGGGTCGAGTTAAGTAACACTACGCGTAATGATATTGTCTTTTCAATGGATCGACCAATTGAAGCTGAAATATTTAACCATGAATGTGAAAATACTGAAACTTTATCTGATCGTGCTAAAGACGTATTATCTCGCCTCCGTACAGATCACTTAAATGAGGAAGAAAGAATTAATTTACAACAATTATGTGCAAACTATGCTGATGTGTTTTATCTTGAGGGCGAACCACTTACATTCACCAACAAGATCAAACATAAGATAAAAACTACAGATGAAGTTCCAGTACACACAAAAAGTTATAGATATCCATATGTTCATCGACAAGAGGTTAGAGACCAGATTCATAAGATGCTTGAACAAAATATCATAAGACCATCTGACTCTGCATGGTGTTCACCGATCTGGATAGTACCCAAAAAGGCGGATGCATCAGGGAAAGTCAAGTGGCGTCTTGTCGTTGACTTTAGAAAGGTTAATGAGAAAACGATTGATGACAAATACCCCATACCTAATATAACAGATGTTTTAGACAAACTTGGAAGGTGTCAGTACTTCACTACTTTGGATTTAGCTAGTGGATTCTATCAGGTAGAAATGAGTTCAGAGGATATTCACAAAACTGCTTTTAATGTAGAGAACGGTCATTACGAATTTTTAAGAATGCCAATGGGTCTTAAAAATTCACCATCAACTTTTCAACGAGTTATGGATAACTTGTTGAAAGACCTTCAAAATGACATATGTCTCGTATATTTAGATGACATAATAGTATACAGTACCTCACTACAGGAACATATCCTAAATTTAGAAAAAGTATTCACTAAATTAAGAGAATCCAATTTTAAGATACAAATGGATAAGTCAGAATTTTTAAAATTAGAGACTGAGTTTTTGGGACATGTTATATGTAGTGAAGGAGTGAAGCCTAACCCTAATAAAATCCACGCTATTGAGAATTACCCCTTACCTAAAACTACAACTGAAATCAAACGTTTTCTTGGCCTTCTAGGATATTATAGAAAATTCATACCAGATTTCGCACGCCTCACTAAACCGTTAACTCAATGTCTAAAAAAGGGTTCAAAAATAACATTAGATCAGACTTATATTAACTGTTTTAATCATTGTAAGAAACTATTAACTAATGATCCTATTTTACAATATCCAAATTTTGATAAAGAGTTTTTGTTAACAACCGACGCATCTAACGTCGCTATCGGTGCAGTATTATCTCAAGGACAAATAGGTTCTGACAAACCTATTGCATATGCGTCCAGAACACTCAATTCTAGCGAGCTTAATTATAGCACTATTGAGAAAGAACTTTTAGCTATAGTTTGGGCAACAAAGTATTTTAGACCATACTTGTTTGGCAGGAAATTCAAAATTATAACGGATCATAAACCACTCCAGTGGGTTATGAGTCTCAAAGAGCCCAATTCGCGTCTTACCAGATGGCGATTAAAATTAAGTGAGTACGATTTTACAGTAGTTTACAAACAAGGTAAACAGAATACAAACGCCGATGCGCTTTCACGAATTGAAGTGCATAACGACGAACTTATGTCTATTATAGTTAATCCCTCTGATAATGCACCAACCGTAGACGAATCAAGAACATTAACCGTCGCGGATGCTACAAGTAATTCTAATACTGTTACTGTGCATACTGACAACGAAAATCCAATTTTAGAAATACCCATAACAGACGAACCATTAAATAAATTCACGAAACAGTTAATTCTAAACATCGTAGGCGATATTAAAGGCAGACCGATTTTAACAAAACCTTTCGATACTCATACACGTATATCAATACAAATATCTAAATCTAATCTCGAAGAAGACATCATTAATGCTATAAAAGAATATGTTCATCCAAAAATTAAGACAGGTTTACTTATAAATCCATTTCTAGATATGTACACTGTAGTACCTATTATACAAAAAACATTTAAAAATTCATCTATGAATATTTTATTAACAAAAAAAGAAGTTGAAAATGTAAGAGAATATCTGAGGCAACAGGAGATCATTAATAAGTACCATGATGGAAAGACGAATCACCGTGGCATTAACGAATGTCATTTAGCTCTATCTCATAAGTATTATTGGCCGAAAATGCGTGAACAGATTACTAAATTTATTAACGAATGCACAGTTTGTGGTCAAGCAAAATATGACCGCAATCCCATCAAACAACAGTTCAGAATTGTTCCACCAGGCACAAGACCATTAGAATTAGTTCATTTAGATTTATTAACTATACAAAGTGAGAAATTTCTAACTATAGTAGATGCTTTTTCTAAGTATGCGCAAGCTTACCACTTAAGGGATGGCACAGCCATCAGTGTCGTGCAAGGGTTGTTAAACTTTTGTACACATCATAGCGTACCTCTAACCATAGTTACTGATAATGGACCGGAATTCACCAACCAACTTATATCGGAATTCGTCAGGGTTCATAAAATTCAACACCACAGAATAGCTCCTCATACACCGAATGAGAATGGTATCGTAGAAAGGTTCCATTCAACTATTCTAGAGCACCTTCGTATATTAAAAATAAATAATAAATCTGAATCGGTAATAAATCTTATGCCATATGCCCTTCTGGCTTACAATAGTAGTATACATAGTTTTACAAAGTGTAAACCGATTGAAATTATAACTGGCCATTTTGATCCTCGAGATCCATTTGATATAGATCTCTCAACTCATTTATTACAGCAATATATGAATAACCATAAAGATAAAATGAAATTAGTATATAACTCAGTTCATGAACTCTGTAATTCCTCCCGTCAAAATATTACTGAAAATCATAATAAGGATCGTGAAACTGAACTTCAGTATTCACCAGAACAACAGATTTTTGTAAAAAATCCTTTTGCTTCCCGACAAAAGTTAGTGCCCCGTTACACACAAGACGTTGTAATGGCAGACCTCCCTATACATATTTATACTAAGAAAAAACGTGGTCCTGTAGCTAAATCTAGATTAAAAAGAGTCCCTAAAAGCGCCCAATTGTTTCAGGACGCTCCTGGTCAATAGTAAAAAGTATAACGAGGTAATAAAATCTCTCCAAGATAATGAAAATAAAATAGTATCTGAATTTAATGCACATGTTAGTTTATCTAAATATTGGACTGCTCAGTATTCTAAAATCATAAGTAATATAGTAACAAATCAGAATAAGATATACATTTTAGTAGGTAAGATAATAGAAAACGAAGCTACACGAGACTATGATTTAGTAAAAAAAAAAATGCCCATTTATCTCAAATTATAGATATAGTAAGCGATAACTATAATTAACTATAATAGCTTTTATAAAAACTTCTACTATGCACCATTCTGTTTTAGATTCGTATACAATCCGCACTATGATTAATAACATAACTACTATCTATGGTACAGATAAAGTAGTAATAGATTTAGATACTAGAGAAATATATTATATAATTAAGTTAGGTTCATATTATATAGATAATAAAATAATATATAAAGTTCCCATCATCTATCCTTTTACGTATGATATGTATAAATTATGTATAATACCCAATAATCACCACGAGATCTTATCACCACCCCATCCGTTCCTTGTTCTTCATGAGAAAGATTTTAAATACATAGAGACAGAATGTCCGAAGACGAGCAGATGGTACTTATGCGGCGCACCCAGCAATATGCAGAATCAATCACCCCAAGACTGTATCCAGAGGCTCATCACCACGCAGCAGCGGGACCGCACATGCAACCCCATTACTGTTTCACTAACAAAATTAGCTTACGAGAAACTCAAGAATAGGCACTACAGTGTGAGTTTTCCAACTCCAACGAAAAGACATTTATCCTGCGGACAAGACCTTTACAAAACCCTGAAACCCGCATTCAAACTGAATTCGATCAAACTGGATCACCTGCATGAAACAAATATGAAAATGTCAATAGCACCTCCATTGACACTGCAGACAGAAAATAACAGCGGTATATATATCATACGACTATACCGATGTATGCAATACTAGTAAGTGCTTGCGTACTTGCCTGTGGCATTACATATTATAAATTCCGCATAAAATACCTCAACACCAGGCAAGCTCATCCAGTCAACCATATGGAAATGGAAGGAATCTACACTGTTCCTGAAACAAGGAGAGTTAACCCAGAGCAACCCCCAGCTCAATTTACGACAAACGTCTTCAATAGTCGCTGTTCTACGAGGGGAGGTGTTACGCAAGCCTAGTATAGAAGGACTGCTGCATTTGCACTGTCCCCAATAAACATTGCACGCGGCACCAAATGCTTGATCAGCAATGAGCATCACGCCATATCGCGTCATGCCTATAGTTACATTTCATTTTTATAGAATTATATAAATCAATCATATTCTGTTCTAACATCGAACTATAAGCATTGTAATTATTATTTTATATTAATAAATTTAAGTTAAGAAAAAGGTTGGATTTTTTTTACAACCTCCGGCTGTAGAATCCATAATTAATGTATCTAAGTATTTGTTGTCTAGTATCCATAACACAAGCTCAGTTTAGCTTGGGACTAGATGGCGCTGTGTGAACTGGCCTTGATTATTATTAATATCGCAGCGTAGAAAGGCCTCCATCAAGGTGGACCGACGATCTGGTCAAGATCGCTGGAAGGCGATGGATGCGAGCAGCACAGGACCGATCGTTGTGGAGATCTTTGGGGGAGGCCTCTGTGCAGCAGTAGACGTCTTCCTGACTGAGATGATTGTTATTATCAATTCCAGCTTAGCCCGTGATAAGCGTCTTGCAGTCACAGTGACACGCAGCTGCTGGGGCCTATGGGATACCAGTACTGGGAAACTTCTTGCTCAATTGGCAGACGCACCCTTAGGAGCCATCGTAACTCACGCCGTGATCACTCCCACTGGGGATAATGTCGTCACAGCTGAATCTGGAAATGTGGTGATTTGGGACACGCCCGAAAAGCAGGTAGGTATGTTTTTAAATCTCAGATTTTACCAAAGAAATCTTCACTACTTAGTATAAAACAAAGTCGCTGTCGCTGTCTGTCTGACCCTATGTATGCTTAAATCTTGAAAACTACGTAACGGATTTTGATGCGTTTTTTTTTTAAGACATAGTGATTCAAGAGGAAGGTTTATATGTGTAATACATGCATACTATTGTAGAGAAATAGTATGCATGTAAATAAATACATAGACATACACACAAATACATACACATGTAAGTAAATTTAGAGATTTCTAATGTGATGTCGTAAATAAACACATTTTTGTGCTTATATTGCAAATGCTGGCTGAACCTCACGAGATAAATCAAAACATTTTTACTGTCTAATGAAAAAAAAAGTTGTGAATGTTGTTTATAAGGACATTATGCAGTAAATATGTATATTTAGTATTAGATATCAGCATTGCATCGCTAGTAGTTCATATAACAAAATATATGAACAAATTTATTATATGTAATTCTAGCGGTGCCCGCGGTTTCACCTTATATGTTATTCTGATGTATAAGCTATATTACTGTAAAGTTTTATCAAAGTCCGTTCAGCAGTTTTTTCGTGAAAGAGTAACAAACATACATCCATACTCCCATACTCACAAACTTTCGCGTTTATAATATTTATAAAATGTATTTATACATACGTATGTGTTAATACATAAACTGAATTGTATATGTAAGTTGTATGTGTTAATTAACACATACATATCATTATAATATATATATAGAAAACATTCAGACCGATACAAATAATCATACTCAAGAATATAACGTTTGTACCGCGCAGGGAGTCGAACCCGCGATTATATTATTACGCGATTAGTAAAGCAAAATTGACATGATTTTGTGAAGGCATCAAAGGGATAATTCCATTATTTACTTCTAGATTCCATTGTTTAATTCCAGGTAATATTCAAAGAAGAACAGAAGGGTGTGAAGCAAGTTCTGCTCTTAGAGGATGGCACCAAATTCATAACGATTTCAATGGAAGTTGCGGCTGACAACGTTGAGAATATATCTATAGCTCATATTATAGCTAGGACTATACCTGGTAAATATATATAGCAGTTCCCGCGACTTCGTCCGCGTGGAATTTAACTTTATTTTTCTAAAATAAAAGTAGCCTAAGTTACTCCTTATTACATCAGCTACCTGCAAAAAAAATCCAGTAAAATCGGTGCAGCCATTTCAGAGATTAGCTGGAACAAATAGACAGACAGACAATAATTGTAAAAAAAAATTATTTTGGTGTATTATATACCGTATTTATATTCATATGCATGTAGTAAAAAACGTTTATTTCAATATTACAAACAGACACTCCAATTTTATTTATATGTATAGATAATAATACTAGATCTACCTGCGAGTTCGTCCGCGTGTATATAATAATAGTGGCCATGACAGACTACCTATATATGTGCACTGCTTACACACTTAATCTTAATGAAGTTATCTTTGTACTATAAAGAAAGGTTTTTGGTAATGCCGGAAACGAAAGTGGTCAGCTTTCGTTCGTTACATGTAGTCACAGGATCATACGCCTCCTGATACAGACATTTTTAAGCATAAAACGAGTCTTCAACAGTTATATAGAACTTAGTGAAAATTGTTTTACCTAAATAAAGGATTCTTGAAGTTGGAAACAAACCACTGTTTGCAAACAATCAAAAATGACAATTCCAAAAACAAACCATCGATTAACAAAACGCCTACTGAACCTCAAAATAATGATAGGGACAATAACGAGCCATTGTTCCTTAAACAAACACCTGTACACAATAGGCGGTACAGACAGTCTCCTTTGTCGAGGCTGCTTTGAAGCCGAAGAAACGGCTGCTCACGTAATCCTGGAATGCGTAGCAGTGACCATACAATGAAAGTAAATCCTCGGAACGGTCAGATCGCTCCGTGAAACCTGTGATGACACCAGGAGACTTCTGCGCTTCTGGGAAGAGCTTAACTGGCTACTCTAGTAGTCTGGCTCTACACGCACAACGGCCCAGAAGAGAGGCTGATTGCGGGAAATGGAGTCCAATGTACATTTACATTTTACATTTATAAAGGATTCTTAATTTTGAATATGTATGTATAAAAAGATCACATGGTGTATCACACATTTCAGCTTAAAAATGTAAAGTAATAACTAAATTACTTAAAAGAGTTACGCAAGATTCTTTTTAGTTCTGTTTGTAATGAGACAGCTTTCCGAATGAACGGTAGATTAAGGAAATGTGATGACTATTCAAAAGTGCCTTAATATACGTTTATTTAAATAAATAATTTATAATTCGTTCTATTGTATTGTATGGATTGTTATGTTATGGTAGTAATAGTTTAGGTGATGCTTCTTACAGACGGTGATAAAATATACACAGCGGAGTATGAAGTACGGGGAACTGGGTACAGAGCTGCTGTGGTATCAGCTGATGAGCACCATATAGCTGCACCTGGCGTGGATAAGTCATCCAGGGACTGCCTACATATATTCCATGCTAGAACCGGTGCTAGACTGCACAGGTATGATCAGAAATATAAAAATAACCCTGGACAAATCACACAACTCCATTTAGTCCCAAGGAGAGCTTGTGTTATGGGTATTAGACAACTGATCTAAATATATAGACATTTTTTAATACATACATAATATACGTAAAAAACGCCCAGATCGATACAAACATACTCAAGAATACAAATGTTTGTACTGAAGAATCGAACCCGCGGCCATCCGAAGCAAAGCGGTTTGCTAAATCGCTGGACCACCAAGACCTCCAAAATAGATAGAACTATAGAGTAATATAGTGTAGAGCTGTTTTTTTATACTATATATTGAACCAAATATAAAAAATAATTGAAATAGTAAATATATATTAACTGATACAAAAGCCGGGGTCATATCACTAAGCAATTGCGTCCAGACTACCTTTGGGTGGATAGAGAAACTAAAGATAAAAATAGGTGTATTCTTTGCTTTGCTAAAATTGCAAAGTACAAAGGTTGAAATATGAGAAAAAAAATGAGCATGAAAGTACCTTATACACTCTGTGTTCATATCAGTAACTTGTTAACTTGTACCCATAACACAAGCTCTGCTTACCTTGGGACTAGATGCGTTCGTATCACCTTGCGTTCTTCCAATTATTTGGGGTCTATCTATTTCTATTTGGGGTATTTCTCGAAAGGTCTATTTGGGGTATGCCATCTAACGCTGGTGCCTATTGCCAATCGTTTCTGAGTTTAATCTCCTTTTAGATAAAATTAATATTCATTAAATTATAATGTTGTTATAGAATCCCAATAAAGAACACTGGAATTAAAGACATGCAGTGCATTCAGGCGTTGCCACATAAGCCGCTCTGGGTGGCTGTTGTTGGTAATGATAAAGCAGGAATACTGGACATCAAGACGAAGCGACTTGTTAGGTTAGTATTAACAGTAAACCTGAAGCAGACCTGAAAAATAGGACACACATATACACACGTACACACACATGCACGCGCACGCACGCACGCACGCACACGCACACACACACACACACACACATACATATGCACGCATACGCACGCACGCACACTCACGCACACACACACACACGTATCTAATGCCACGCTGTTATCCCTATCCTGATACCCATCTAGTCAGAGGCGTTGTCGACTGTTAAATTAGTGAGGAGATATTTGGTTTATTTTTATTTATATGTATAGATAATAACCTAATGTAATGAATATAGACGAATATACATAATTAGCGCTGCCCTAGAGGTTTGGTGGTACTAAAACCTTAAGGCCCGGTGTACTAAATTAGTACACCGCTTTACTCCCAATACTTGCGGGAGCGATTTCTCGTGCAATGGATTTTTTTATATTTTTATTTCAGATTCGTACCACGTTGGAATGGCGCGTGCACCAGAGATGGTAAGATTGGTCTCTGCGCACCGACCAGAGGAGGTCTGGACCTTATTGAATTGAAACGAGGCACGTCAGTACAACAGCTGATATCGAGGGCAGCTGAAGGCGTCTTCTCTATAATAACCATGTTCAGCTCGACTGACCAATATGTCTTTTATTATCACAGCGGAAGGAAGACGCTGAGGGTATTCAGGTATGATATTGTATATTTGATGGTCTCGATGATCTAGCTGTAGCACACCGTTTTACTTCCGATGCCTGCGGGTTCGAGGCCTTTCATATTGCATACTTTTGGATTCATGACTATGATTATTATATTAGCTTTGTTTTTATTATTTTCTATGTTAGTTTGCTAGTGTTTTCTATTGACATTATGTATCGAAACATTATTTAAGTATTTCTATCAGTTGTTTAACTAGGGATTATATAGCTGTGTTAATTGACAAATTAAATCAAATCAAAATCGTCGAACATTCGATAACACGAGTCTGTGACTCTCCACATTCGACAACACGAGTCAGAGTCCCTATAAACGGCACCCGTTCAACAACTCGAGTCCCTACAAACGGTACCCGTTCGACAACATGAGTCACAGTCCCTACAAACGGCAGCTGTTCGACAACACGATTCAGAATCCCTACAAACGGCACCTGTTCAACAATATGAGTTACAGTTCCTACAAACGGTACTCGTTCGACAACACGAGTCACAATCCCTACAAACGGCAGCCGTTCGACAACACGAGTCACAGTCCCTACAAACGGCAGCCGTTCGACAATACGAGTCACAGTCCCTACAAACGGCACCCGTTCGACAACACGAGTCACAGTCCCTACAAACGGCAGCCGTTCGACAATACGAGTCACAGTCCGTACAGACGGCATCCGTTCGACAACACGAGTCATAGTCCCTATAAACAGCACCAGTTCAACAACTCGAGTCCCTACAAACGGTACCCGTTCGACAACACAAGTCACAGTTCCTACAAACGGCAGCCGTTCGACAATAAGAGTCACAGTCCCTACAAGCGGATCCGTTCGACAACACGAGTCACAGTCCCTACAAACGGCACCCGTTTGACGACACGAATCATCCGTATTACGAGGTATCCGTATTCCCTAGAAGGGTCAAAGATGGAGCTTAGTAATAACCCTTTTGCCCAGACATCCACTCCGAGGCAAACAACTCTTGTGGAATGGGGTTTAAGCTTTTTTTAAAGCAGATACTAATTATGCTAATCTAAAATCAGAGACAAACAGTTCTGAGTATTACTTCTATTTCTAGAACGGTAGATGGCAGAGCGGTGGCAGAGTACAGAGCACCAGCTGAAGTGACCGGAGTGGCGAGCGCCCACGGTGGTACAGCGCTCGCCATCGCCTCCCAAGATGGCTGTCTTACTGTCTTAAATATTGTGGATCCTAATGAATAATTATTTTATGTACTTCAACATAGAATGAAATTACAATATAAGAGGTATCACATCTTACGTCCTTTGGAATGGCAACGCATGAGCGGTAAAATGGGCGTCACATGATAATGTGATGACCGTAGTGCTGTTCATGTATATAGGCGCTGACAACAGGTGAAACGTCAGCTCCTTTGCTATTGCAATTAAATAAAAAAATAGAATTGATGATATTTTTAACTAAATGTATAGCACGGCGCTGCTTGGAAATCTGTATTTCCAAGCAGCTTCTTTGTTACTCGTAAATAATAGTAAGTCTCAGTGGAAATTAAAAAAAAATATCAAGCACTATTTACGTACTAATAAAAAAACAATTGATGATATTTTTAGCTAAATACATAGCACGACTCTGCTTGACAGTTTCTTACTGGCAAATTAAAGTTGGTTATAGTGGAAAAAAAAATAGTAAGTACTCGATTACGTACAAACATAAAAATGAAAGTTTTATCTTTATAATATTATATTTAATATAAATGTAGACAAAGCTATTAGAAGCGTGTAGTTAGCTTTTAATAAGCACTGCATTTTTCCTATACGAATCAATTTTTTATAGATTTTAAGGCTGCACATCTCCTACCTCTCTTTATACAAAACGAGCTACTATGAGAATTTTCAACAATAACTAATTAAACTCGATGAAATATTCTCCATAGGACAATGCGACTAATATTTTAAACTAAAATTTTCTTTAACAAGTTTTCTTTACAATTATAGGTAACTGAAAAACTCAAACTTCACTAGAAATAACAATTCAAGAAATATATAAATAAGAAACCTATATTTGTTACTTATTTATTTATTTTTATTTATTTATTTGAGCGACCAACAAGATATACACTATGAGGTTACATAAAAATTGTAACTTGCAAAGAGGTCAGGTATATAGTGTTGACTTAATTACTGGTTGCCACGGCATGCGATATTGTTTACAAAAGTTTATAAATATATATGTATATATATATATATTTTTTTTTATATTATATTTATATATTTATATGTGTATAAATATTAAAGTTTTAATTTTATATTTCTTGGATTGTTGTTATTTGAGAGATATTGTTATTGTTGAGAAATATATAAATACATTTTTAAAATAGTGCAAGAATTTGGAATTGCAATGAATTTTCAGAATAATGAAAAACATTCTGTTTTTACCCAATAGTTAGCTGGCAGAGAATGCCATGGCGCTAAGCTCACAAACTGCACATTAATTTTAAATAGTACAATAAAGAATGAATAAATAAATAAGATTTTATAGATCTTTAGATTAGAAAGGTATGATTATCAACAACTACGTTTATTTACAACTTGCTGTTCCCACGACTTCGTCCGCATGGAATATAACTTTATTTTTCTACAATAAAATATTTTTTTGAAAATAAAAGTAGCCTAAGTTACTCCTTATTGCATCAGCTACCTGCCGAAAAAAGTCCCGTCAAAATCGGTTCAGCCATTTCAGAGATTAGCCGGAACAAACAGACAGACAGACAAAAAATTTAAAAAATGTTGTTTTGGTGTATGTACCGTATTTAGGTATATTCATATGAATGTAGTAAAAAACGGTTATTTCAATATTACAAACAGACACCCAATTTTATTTATATGTATAGATGATATTCATATTTTTGAGTGATGACTAAGTCTAATTTCATTTCTTCGTATTTTTTATAGAGAATTCTCTATGAATTTAAAAGAAACTCTGTGGAAATCGACGTCGTATTATTATAATCTATGTTTTTAACAACATAGCCAATATTTCCCATAACTATCTCCTTCTCCCCTGTAGATTCGGTGGTCCTACCCCATACATACAATATAATACAAATAAAGATATTTGAACAAAAAGAAAGTACTTACGAAAGAAAATAACGAACTGATTTCGCAACAAAGTTATTTAACAAGTGGCTGTACAAGTCTCAACTACTCTCTTTATATGTTACAGCTTTTGTGATTTTTTTAGACTTACGATATATTGAAATTCTTTTTGTTCTATATTTTATATTATTCAATGTTACATGAAATTGGTGATTACTTTTCAATACGCTCTATATATTTTTTTGTTCGATTTATTATTACATACAGATGATTTACACTATGTACTTGATTCAATTTTTCATTCTCGTTTTATTTTTTTTCCAGTGTTATTGTTTTTATTTTCATATAGGGCAAGAAAATATTCTCTTTTCTTAATATTCTATCTTATTACTCATTTCTGAACTTGTATTTTGAAAGAAAAAAATATTAAGCAATTTTTTAAGAGTGATCTAATTAATTAAATTTATCAATCTAGGTATTTATAAAATTTTAGATACATGTTTACTTCTAATACAATCTCTCTTTTTAGCTTTCATATGTATATTTAAATATATATTCCTATTTCCCATCTACGGCATCACGCGGCTTGACCGATTTCTCTAATTCTTTCTTTGTTGTGTTTATTATTAGGAAATAGTTCATAAGAAAGAAGAACAAATATAAGAATAAATAAGAATGTTGTAGTTCTTGTGAAAAAAGAAATTAAGAAAGTTGCACGGAATATTAATAAAGTTAATTGAATTATAAATTGAATTCTATATTCAAAATTCAAGACAGAACTACATTTGTGCGGTGAACTAGTTATTTATAAAAATATTTTTGTGTTAATTAATTAAATAATAAATTTATATAAAAATATAGCGAAACGGAGAATATAGTATTATACTTTTATATAATACTACATTCTCCTTAGTACTTTCGAAATATAGTATCATATAATTTATTATATATACATTTAAATAATTTTAGCAAAGATGTGCTCATCACAAAAAAAGCATGCCTAGGCGTTGGTAATGTAATGAAATGATAATTATGATAGTGAACGTCAAGTAAGTGCTAGCATATATATATATTTATAATATTGGAATTTAAAAAAAGTTTATGAGTAGGTATGAGTCCATTGTCTAGGCATGCTTTTATTAGTGTATTTCTATTGTTTAATATTATAAATCATTGAAATTATAATTGTAGATTATATTACATTTGCTTCGATTTTTAAATAATTTAAAAATGTCTAGTCGTAATATTAAGATAGAGAAATAAATTGAAATGCTATTTTTATAATATTTCAGAAATGAATTAGTATTATTATTATTTATTGTCGGAAATATTAAATTATTAATATCTATTCATTTTTAGCATATAAACTGATTCCGTACCTGTATATATTGTGTTTGTTAATGTTTATTCTTCAATTATATAGGAACTTTTATCACTGATTGTGCTTTTATATTTTTATGAACATTAGTTCATGTAATTATATTTTTCTGGAACAATAAAGAGTTTTTCATACATTCATTGATTCTAATAAGTATAGTAGTATATTAAAATCGCCAACAATACTAATATTCAACAATCAGTTTTGTAAGATTTTAATTGAACAGAAAAATAATATATTTATTTACCGTAGTGAGGTAATAACAGAATTAATTAAAATAATACTAATTCATTTAATAGTTTAGTCGGTAGATAAATTAGCATTTTAGTAATATTAAGTAGGAATTATTTATTATTATTCTAAATGACATTTGTGAGAATAAAAATGGCGGCGGAAATGTAATGGTCTGTGATAGGACGAAAGATTTTTGGTCTCATTACGAGTTAGGTAGATTTTATAGAACGTTTCTAATGTGGCCTACATACGCCACTAAAATCAGAGGCAGTATCAGAGCAGTGGTGTTCCTAAGTGTAGTGAAATCATGACCAAATAGATGCATTTACATGTACGCTCTTTTACGCGCGAATCGGCTTGCACGTAGGAATTAAAGTATGAAAATTGTAGAAAAAAAGAATGAGAAAGACCGCGCGCGCCGTCTTCAAACATGGCGGATTCCCGCGTCCTTCTCCTGCTTGTTTAAGCGCCATTTTGTAACAATCAATATTGTAAAATGGCGGCCATTTGTCTATGGACCAAAGACATAATTATAGAGTTATTGATAGTTTATAAATTTGAAACGTGTCTTTGGAAAATAATTGTGTAATAAAAAAATAAATTAAAAAAAGAGTGAAATGACATGTGATATACGCGAAATCACGGGATAGAGCGAACATTAAAAATAGTTATACAATCACTCATGATTACTTTAACAGACTGCTACGTTTACATTCAGCTGCTTCCCCTGCCACTCGCGCTGCCGGAAATATTGCCGGGCGAGAACTGAGCGAGAGCTAAAAACACGCTGTCTGTCCTTTGACTCGCGCACGAAAAACCGACAATCGAGGGAGCTCCGGGCAACGCGAGTGGCAGCGCCAATGGCATGGGAAGTGTTTCACTTACTTCCCTGCCCACTCGGGCTGAGTGTAAATTGGGCATTAACGTCCTAAATAACAAGCACTCCTATTCGCGTGTGAAAGAACTGTCATGTAAACGTAGTTATTTCTCATAGAGCGCTGACCACATTTTATCCCTTACCACTACTGCTCCAAGATTGTCCCTGATTTTATTGTAATGTGTTTAAAGTCGACTTTTTTGGAAATTTGGATCTCGTGATTTAGATTTTAAAATTCAATGTTTAAATTACCTAGTTATAATACAGTCTTGAATATTAATTTATTTAAGCAATACATTTTAGGTCGATGGTATTGTTTTAAAAATATTAAATTAGTTTTATTAATTAAGGTTTCACATTATTTGAGGTTGAGGTCAGACAAACCGTGTGGATGACGCCGTACGATTGGCGCAATTATAAAGAGGGCGGGGCGTAGCAGTCAATGCGCCAATTGAATGGCTCCATCGACGACATGGTATGTACGACTCATATCGAAAATGTGTGGCCAGCCTAAGTAAACCTAATTAGGGTCCCAAAATATTTATTTGGTAGGTTAGTAATTATGAAATAGTACAAATTTATTAGAAATTAATAACATTTTCGATTTGTAGATTGTAGTCGCGTATATTAAGCACGCATGTAAACGTTTAACACATTAGGAGGTACTTGGGATGTATTTTGCCATAGTGACAGTTAATGGCAGCGAAAATATTATACTTTTTTTATACCTTGTGTTATTTCGTCATTTTATATATTCCAATTAAGTTTATTATGTGATTACCTGTGATCATGAGCGTTACTTCTATAGCAAGATTCACCCTTGGTACAAAAAGGGATGATATGATGCCCCTGTCATCATATCACCCCCCACCCCAAGGGCGATATGTTAAGACACATTTTTAGGCCAAGTCTAGTATCCAGTTTTTTTCAAAAGTTAATGCATACGATTGTTCCCCCCCCCCCCCCCCGCTCTCCTGCATCTCCGTGGGTATGACAATGATTTTGTGAAACATCGCGACTGTCAATAATATTGTCGATAAATAGAAACCATTTAGAGAGTTATTATGACTAGATGCAGTAGATAGTGTTTAGCTACACAATTGTACCTAGTAGTAATTGTTATTATTCCTTTTAGTATATGTTGGAAAATGCGAATGACTTTTATCCTTCAAATTAGATTTAAGGCCTCATCCTTCGTCTTACTAAAGTTACGATTATTGATTCTCTTCCCAACCTCATCCTTGTCACATTTGTAAACCTTCGCGTTCTCTAGTATGACGTCACGTATTTTATAGTTTTATATCTAGAAAATGAATAAATTAACATACAATCAATAGTCTCGACATAAGTTATATTTTCATTTGAAATATGAATTACTAAGAATTTTGTATTCCGATATAAAAACAATATTTTTGGATTAAGTAATATATCTATTACAAATATTTACTAATAATGTGAATTCGAAATGTGACATCACGACTCCTTCCATACCTTGTAACACAATATCTCACTTCATCGATGTCACGCCCTCCCGTACCGTACTTAACGTGGGACCTAAAACGTGTATGTGGATGAGCCCTAATTCAACGTCGTCGGAACAGGACTGACGCAACATCGTAATCCGTGGATAAAAGTCGTTTGTTGGAACATTGTTGGCAATGATACATCGAAAAGTGGATTGTTAAAAAAATGTTTAAAATGTTATTATAGTATGAATCAATAAAATGTCTTTAATTTTTTACTTCTCACTCAATTAATCCTGCTGTTTAGCAATTTATATTCACATATTTCGAGAGAAGCACATAATTTGTTTAACCCTATTAAACAAATTTTGTGCTTTTTAATTGGCTTACTTTGCTGATTCTTCTTGAATGAATATGTATTTCGAGTCAAGTAAACAAAAAAAAACTATTTAGAAATATTTAGGTATATGAAGTTAATTTGAATGAAGATTATTTCTACTTCTATTACCTACATTCTTGTTACTTTTATTTCTACTAAATATATGGTAGGTATTTTAAAATAATATTTTCAGTTTTGGAATAAAAATTTAGTCAAATTATTATGTTTTATAAATTCTATCTCCGACTTCCTACTTCACATTTTATTTTAACTCTGTAGCCAAGGATTCTAGATTACAGTTAGCTTAGTAAAATATATTACAAATACGGCTGAAATTAGGGTTTGGAATAAAAAACTGAATAATATATCAAAACTTTTTATAACCTACAAACTGTACTTTTATGATATTCCATTCAGTCATTATTTATAACTTTAATCTTTGCGTCAAGAGTTAAGCAATATGGGCAAGCTTAACTATATCATCACATTTAATACATACAAACTAACATAATTTCTATTGCTAACCGGGTCTTAACACAAATAATTTTATGGCAAATAAAAGTATTTACCTCTCGACAGTTCGACATTAAGACCCGGTTGACAATATAATTAATGTAAACTAACGTAAGTAACTGAACCAGATAAAACCAGTTTTCAATTGATACTTATATAATAAAAATGTTCTTACACAACCTTAACGTTTGCTATTAAATTAGATAACAAACACAATACAGAAATATCAATCTTTACAGGGTTAATCGTAAAAGATACGCTAAGCCGAAAGCTACTGATTGTTCAGACCGTTGTTCAGTTTTATGAACTTACATGAAACTGAACAACTCTCTTAAAGAAACTAAGTTATTAATTAATAAAAATAATAATTTTTGGGCATCAAACCAAAAAAAATATTTTTATTAATCAGCCTGTAAAAGACAGTTCACAACTGAAACAGTTGCCAAAACTAGTGCGGTATATATACTTAAAAAATACATAAAAAACACTAGGTGACTAAAATATTCTCAAATAATGATTTTGAGATTATGTCTGTTAAAATGGCCAGAATATTTTTAAAAATGTCGAGTTGTAACCCCCCCCCAGAAAAATGAGGAGTATTATATACTCAATTGCAGCTATTGTACTATTTTTCTCGACAGACGACCCAAAAAAAGCATTTCACTTTTTGTGTCGGGCGTTAAAAGTTTGACGTATGTGTCTGTTTGTTTGTGATATTGTAGCTCCTAAATTAACGAATGGAAATGCCTATTTTTTATTTGAATAGCGACGTGATCGAGATGGTATTTAATTACACTTTATTAAAGTTCTTTTTTTTGACTTGACGTTAAATAGGACGGTTAGAATATAATAGTTAATATCGGTTTGAAATACTTTTACGTTCACGTCGTTTTAAGAAGGTATTTATCACAACACATGTACAGCATCTCAGTATCAACATTACAGAATCCTTTCACGGCAAATGGTGACCGTCGGCTATGTTGCCAACCTTGTAAATAAATATTATAGATGTTTTTTGTAATTGTTCTGAGTGTGTATGTATATGTATGTTAAATGGTTGTCAATAAATGTTTCTTTCTTTCTTTCTTTAATATATATTATTATGTAGTATAAACTTGTATTAACATTTAGAATTCGTATTCCGACACGTGTATGAATAGTTTAGCGACGGCGATCCCTTCGAATTGTTGTTGACTGTACAGTTCCATAGACAATTCCAGTTCTATACTCTGTGGTCCAATGAGTGGACGGACCAGAGCCACTGCTGCTTGGTAATACGTTTGTTGATCCAACCTGAAATAGGAAGATATTAAAATTAAACTTCTGTGTCATATTCTCGCGCGTAGATAGCAGACGTGAAGTGCCCTGCAAGACCGCGCCCATCTCCATGGGCACCCACCGGACGCAACTCGCGATCCGATCGAACCTCAGTCCAATTCAAACGGGGACCGAATTCCGAACCCCTAGCGGTGCCCTTAGATTAAAATCGTATCCGTCAGGCGACAGTTGGCCTTCAGCCACTCCATAAGTCCTTCCGCGGATTTGGAGTGCCATCTGCACTCGCCTATATCTGTAAAAGCCAGCTGCGGATAACAGCATTAGGGTAGTCCGGAAAAAAACCACAGGGTCATTACGTCATGGTGACGGAGCGGCACCCAAAACTGGCCCGGCAGCGACCCTAATACCCATTATTCTTTCAGCCGGCTACATAATTGAAGCCGCCTCGCCAAATAAGGCGTAAATTAACAACGCTTGGGTGGTTCACCTTAGCAGTATGCCCGGGCAAAGAGCGTAAGCTCGAGACCTTTACTCAGCGGTCTGTAAGGGCCTGTGGATGATCCAGAAGGAAAGGAAGGCAATGTCTCCATCTGACCACTATGACAAGTGGTCCGAATCGGGGGGAAAGAGGATTGTTAGCAATGGACTGATGATCTTATTAATAGCAATGTTAGGTTGACCTTCCCGCGGTTCCCCCTGGAAACCATCCTGATAAATTCTTGGCGAATTTGTCACGATGGGCTAACTGACCTGACCTCATCTTATCATCCTCCACTGGTGCCCCCCTAAGGTAAACCGTTAGATCAGGCGAGTGCACCATTCCATCATCCACGAAAAATAAGTGGCACGAACCAGTCTGTACAGACTTAAAATGCGAGTGATTATTACTTACAAGAATGAGCTAATATTAGCTTTCTCCTTCACCGACGGCGGCGCATTCACGTCTACTAGCCGCATCTGGAACTTTAGCTTGGCGTCATTTAGCTTCGTTGGTCCTTTCATGGTGAATAGGTTCACCTGAAAATATTCAGTACATTTAATAAAAATATCTCAAGATAATTTGCACAGCGCCATCTAGTCCTAACTAAGCAGAGTTTGTGTACATGTGTACTAGACACGTGATATAAATATTTAAATACATTTTTTTATAAATACATACATGTTATACACAGAAAACAGAGAGACTAACGTAAACAATCATACCCATGATTACAAATGTTTGTACCGTACGAGGAACCGAACACGTGACCATTCGATGTAACGAGGTGTGCCGAGGTCGTCAAATTGAAGACGTATTGACTTCTAATGTTTTTTATCACTTTTACAGTTGAAATTATGAACCGTACAATTCAGATAACTCTCAAATATCAACTCTTCTCATTCAATTTAGTACTTAATCTTAAATACATATACAATCTTAAATTAATCGGATGATTAATTTAAGGTTTTTAACTACACGCTCCTAATTGTTAGGGTTCACACCAACATTGTAGAAAAATCCGATATTTTAAAAAGGTTTGTGTTTAGTACTAATGAAGTCCCCAATGTAAAGATTATTACAAATATTGTAAATAGCGCCATCTAATATTTATGGACCGAACTAACTTGTTAGTCATAAGATAACCGTTACTCCCGCTTCTCTCCCTACTACACTGACTTCGGTTTATAATTACGGAGGTCGGTAGTTGATAAATTCTCTTTTGTTGAGTAAGCCACGGCATTCAGCCGACGAGCAGCGTGCCAGTTGTATTTTGGATACTAAAGTGAATTGTATTAGAAATGGGTTTATCCCGGTTTAAGGTGGGCCTGGGGGGAACCTACAAGTAGTGGAGGTGAGTGTTAATGCATTCTAAAAGGGCCTTTTAAACCTACACCCGTGTCACAAGTCACGGGCGCTACTTGGAGTTTCTCTTCCGGTAGCCGGCTTCAAAGCCTAAGTCGTTATCATAATTAGTGGGGTAAGACCCACATAATCAAATTCTTGTATTGATTGTAATCTGCTTTGTATAAATAAATAAATAAATAGTTTACCTCAGAATCTGGAATGTACAAATTGGAGACGAATGTAATATAGTTGTGTGAATACGTCAACGGTTGATGCATGCAAGCCCAATCATTGTTATGGCACGATTTCTCAATTCTTGAGCAGCGACTGTAAACATAATATAGTTTGTTTTACTCAGCGCCATCTGGTCTCAAACTTAGTATAGAGGACACTAGATAACTAGGGCTCTGACCGATTCTCCGTCCAATTTCAATGGAGCACAACCTGAGCCAAGGTTCGAACCCCTAACCGTGCCGTCAGACTGAAGTCATATCCGCCAGGCGAGAGTTGGCCTTCAGCCGCTCCATAAGTCCTTCCTTTGGTTTGGAGTGCCATCTGCACTGGCTTCCTATCATCCAGTGGAACAGTAAAGGCCAGCCGCGGCTAACACTAGAGTAATAACAAATAATCCGAAAAAAAATTGACTACAGATAAAAAAGAGACAGGACATCTTAGTCCTCAAAATGGATAACGCATCACCTGATAACGTAATGTGCTGCTTATGTATATAGGCGACTGTTACTGCTTACCATCAGGTGGGCCGTCAGGTTGTGTGCCATTCCCATAAAAATGTCAAATAAGGTACAGAATATTTTATATGTAACAAATAATATGACTGCTAGCAGAGAGTATAAATAAACTATAACTTTTTTTTTTTTATAACACAGGGGACAAACGAGCATGCGGCTCACCTGATGGTAAGTGATTACCGCCGCCCATGAGCACCCGCAACACCAGGGGAATTGCAAGCAATTGCAACGTTGTCGGCCTTTTAAAAAGGAATAAGCTCTTTTCTTGAAGGTTTCAATATCGTATCGGTTCGGAAATACCATTGCTGGAAGGTAATTCCATAATGTGGTTGTGCGAGGCAAAAAGTTTCTAGAAAACCGCACTGTGGAAGACCGCCATTCATCCAGATGATCAGGATGGTATTTCAGTTTCTGGCGGGTGGTACGGTGGTGAAACTCAGCAGCTGGTATTAATCCGAACACTTAGATGTATACAGCGCCATCTAGTTGCAAGCTAAGCAGAGCTTGTATTATGATTACTATATACAATATACAACTGATTAAAATACTGAAATACATAGGTATTTGTTTAAATATATACATAACTAGCTACTTGCCCCGGCATCGCACTGGTGTACGGGTGTACATATATTATATATATAAACTTTCCTCTTGAATTATCTATTAAAAAAAAATCGCTTCAAAATCCATTGCATAGTTTTAAACATTTAAGCATACATATGGACAAACAGCGACAGCGACCTTGTTTTATACTATGTAATGATATACACTGAAACCGATATAAGCAATCATACTCATGACAACAAAGGTTTGTATCGTGCGAGATATCAAACCCGCGACCGAGGTCTATATACATGAACTGTACTAGTGTATACTTACTTCTTACTCTCCAAGTAGTATCCTGGTGAGCAGACAATGCGATGACACCGGTAGGAACCTCTTGTATTTTGGCAGACATTGCTGGTACCTCCAGATATACCAAGTTTGGCACACGGCGCTTCCCCAGTTTCGCATTCATCAATATCTATATACATACAATACATGAATATTATTAAAAAAATCGTAGCCCAGTTTATTTTTTTTCTATTTAACTGAAAGGGGTTGTGCCTACACTTGTTGTTAGTTATTCATGTAGGACATTTTAGCCGCTTATGAACATCAAGATTTTAAATTATAATTTTTCTCCCTACCGTCCAGTTCGGTATATTGAGAAGAACTGGCAAGAAACTCAATTGAATTACTTTTTTTTTAAGACAGTTTATTTACAACTAGCTGTTCCCGCGACTTCGTCCGCGTGGAATTTAACTTTATTTTCTAAAATAAAAGTAGCCTAAGTTACTCCTTATTACATCTGCTACCTGCCAAAAAAGTCCCGTCAAAACTGGTTCAGCCATTTCAGAGATTAGCCGGAACAAACAGACCGACAGACAGACAGACAAAAATTATAAAAAATGTTATTTTGGTATATGTACCGTATATATATTCATATGCATGTAGTAAAAAACGGTTATTTCAATATTTTTGTAATATTCATACAGACACTCCAATTATATTTATATGTATAGATGTATAAGTTGACTTTAACACTTGATACCTTTCCATTAGTTTACGTCTCTACTAACATAGATTTAAGTTAAGTGTAAAATCAGTCGATGTCTCGACTCCGCGTCGAATTGCCGCGTTACTAATAAGCCATGTAGCACACTATCTAATAAACTTACCAATGTACAATAAATAGTACAATTATTTCACCGATATACTCACTAGCTACATACTACAATAAATATATTATGTAGCGTCACCTCACATCATACATAACTAAAGTGATGAAGATAGCCATCGCGCTACAATTGGTAACTTTATCATACATAACGCTACAATGGTGAGGTACAGAAGATCCAATCGGAACCAGTGCACCCACCCAGTGGGCCTAACTGCCTGTTGCGTGTTACTACATCGACCACGTGTACCTATCCAGCCTACACTACGCCACCAAGGAGCAGGACATTGTGAACTACATAGGCCCAGGAGAAAAACTGAGCGTGAAGCAGCTGGACTCGAGTTACAACGCGAGTTTCAAGACGTTTGTGGCCCGGGTCCCCACCAGATCTGTTATCTTCATGAAGGAGGACTACTGGGCGAAGGGTGCGGTGTATCGGCGCTACCAACTAATATACTAGGGTATATAAGACTACTTGACATGTCGATGGCTAGCGGTGCGATGGTAAAAGATAGCCATGGGCATCAAGTCTAACAGTTCTTTCAGGCCATTGTATATTCGGTAGAATACATAAAGCTCTCCTCACACTTAGGTTTTTTTTTAAGAATGATAAAGAATGGTGCACTCGCTTGCACTAACGGTTTACGCTTACGGGGCACCAGTGAAGGATGATAAGATGAGCATGAGGTCAGTTAGCCCATCGTAACAAATTCACCAAGAAATTATCACGATGGTTTCCAGGAGGAACCGCGTGGAGGTCAACTGATAAATGTACCACACGTTGTTAGCAATGGAGACATTAAGCCACATTACTAACAATTTCCTTCCCACACCATTAAAGGTTCGATACCGCTTGAGAGATATTAATAATACTAGACTCACCTATACAACTTCTCTTATCTTCACTAAGCCGATATCCCTGTGGACAACTGCAACGGTAGCTTCCAGGTTCATTAAGGCACCTCCCCACACATAACTTCTTCGATTTGTACTGCACGCACTCGTCCACATCAGAACAAGTCCTGAGAATTTGACAGGTTGGAATTATAAACTACGTAGATGACATTTCACTCGGCGTTTAATTTCAAAGAAAAGGCAATAACACACTGTATCGCATCGCAATACCCGAAAAAGCTGTGATCATTTCTTAGCCTTCCTTCTATTTTGTTTGTTCCGCTTTAATAAATCGAAGTATGGTTTTTGACAGCCTATAACCATCTTGAATAGACTTGGCTTTATAATGCAAAAAGGTGTTTTAAATCTATTTTGCTTTGTTCAGGTTTAATCGGTAGAGGTATGATATTTAAAAGAAAGAAAGGAGATTTTCATCGGTTTTTGTATTAACACAATATAGTGAATAAGACTTTGTTAAGACTAAGAGTTATACACAAGGTTCCTCGCTCTTGTGATTAGTGGTCTTGTGCCGTATTAGCGGTAGAATAAAAAAATGCTTATATTAAATTTCTTTGAATAAATATTATAACATTGTATTCTATAACAGTCAGATATCGGGTTACTCCATCAATTACATTAGACATTTAATGGGATAGGATGGGATGATAAGGGGATTATTGTCATACTCTCTTCGAAAGAAGGGGGTCAAGAATGACACAGTGTGACAAGGAGTTTGAGGGGGTACTAAATTTGACTCTTTCGACATCACTTTTGAAAATGTAATATATATAAGTAAAGTTTAAAATGTTTCTATAATATTGCAAACTATGTGACAACTCTAGGGTGAGAGGAATCTCAGAAGTGTGTAGTTTTAACAAGAATGGAGAGAGATATCAAAAACTTGAAATTCGTGTACGTAACTTATATATCTATAGCTCCGAGACTCAGTTTGGATATATTTACCTGTTGTCTTTGTTTAGCTTGTACCCTCTATGGCAAGAGCACCTGTAACCTCCCCAAACGTTATTGCAGCGCTGCTGACATAAGGTCCCGGAGCGGGCCTCCACGCATTCGTCTACATCCATGCAAATCTAAAACGAAATAAATATTTTTTCACGCTTTTTTTTTCTTGCTATCTAAATGAGAACTATTATTTACAACCATTGTTCTTTTATAATTGTAGCTAGAATGATGCAGTCCAATACAAGATTTCGAACTATTCACTCGTGTTTAATTAAAGCATCCAATTATTCCAATAATATAATCTTAGTCATGAAATCTATTTTTTAAAAAGGCTTCTGGACTCGGCCAACTAACAGTACGAAATTATTGACATTTCCCTGGATATATTGGAATCCAACATGATAGGAGGCGACTTATCGCAGTTTATCACATTTTTTTGTTACTGATCCAGTTGAGAGAGGAGACATTAACAATAATACGTTGTGGTGGACGAAATTATTGACATCCTCACATTTCCCTGGATATATTTGAACCCAACGTGGCAGAAAGCGACTCTTATCCATTTTTCTTTTGTTATCTTCATCAATCGTCAGTCTTTAATGGCAACGCATGAGTGCTGTCCCGGACGTCACATATTTTGCACGACGCGTCTTTTTAGACTTATTCAAGTTATATATATACATATTAGAAATTATTTTTCTATTACCGACACGGTTTTGCCTCTTACAGTCCTTAAGAAACCCAGTCATTAAAAATGTTCATGAGGCAAAGGTTATCTCTTTCCATCAGGAGGCCTACCAGCTTGTTTACAATTCAATTTACATTCCAAATTAAAAAACAAAACAGACGTGTGGTCGGGTACAACTAGTACTACTATGTTTACCTTTTCATTCACTGGGGCTGATCTGAATCCCTTATGACAATCGCATGTATAAGACCCAATTGTGTTGATACAGTCAGCATTTTGGGAGCATAAAGGCTGAAAAATGAACATACAGACAATTACATTAAGACCTTAGATGTCCATCTATAACTTAAATTACGATTTTCATGTGTCATATCCCCGTGTTGTTTGATCTGATTTGGTCACATTTTCGAACCCCCCTCTGTTTCAATCTTTATAATATTAAGAAACAAATAGTAGTTTCGCAATAGTTATATTTCAATTTTATTTATTTATTCTTAAAAGGATATTGAACCGTGACATCACTAAATATGCTATTCTTGTCACAGTATGTCACACTTTAAAGTTTTAAGCCCTAATTTAAGTCCCTATGTATGGACAGATAGTGACAGCTACTTTATTTAATACTATGTAATGACTTGTAACTTACCGTACTATCAGGCTGCTTGCATTCATCAACATCTTCACACTGGTGGTCTCCCACCAGCCTGTGTCCCAGAGGACAGCTGCAGGTATACCCACCAGGTAAGTTAGTGCACACTTGAAGCGGACCACACTTGGCCTCGCGCGTCACGCATTCATTTATGTCTGTAAACACAAATAGTTGTCAATCTGATTAAGATGCAAGTAGACAATCGAAAGTGTCTGTCTATTTGTTACCTGTTGACGACTAAACGGCTGAACAGATCTTAATGAAATTTGACGTGTCGATAGATTACATCAAAAGTATGGACATAGGCTATCTTTTGAGAGAAAAAAATAATAATTACGTGTACCAGTTAGTAATATAATATGATATTATATATGGTAATAATATAAATGTGAATTGTCCAGGCTTATTTTTATTTAAAGGACTAATTTTAAGAATTTTAATTTAAAAAACTAAGCAAACCCTCTCATTTTCATTTAATTTAATTTCAAACGTCCTTTCTTACAAACAAAAAACAAAATAATACCCAAATAAAATAAAAAATATGACTATTCAAAGGTGCTTATATTATGTATATAGATTATTTCTGTTTCTAAAATAATAATAGAATAGAATAGAATAAAAATCATTTATTCAAAAAATAAATTAATTTAAGATCATGTTTTGAATAGTCATTACTATTATTTAAATCTATTATTCGGAAAGCGGTCTCATCAAAGAAGAATAAGCAAGAAACTTGTGTGTTTCTCTTTTAAACAATCCTTGTAAGTTCTTTTACTGTGTTTTAATAATATAAAATCACAGTGTATAAAATGACAATTACAGTATAAGATCATTTTTGTCATAGTAATGGCATGCAAAATATTGAATTCAAATAATGAAATAAAACATTGATATTTGTTGTCTTAATAAATAAAAATACCTTCACAAGTATTATCGATGCCAAGTTTGTACCCCCAGGGGCACTTTATGACCGTTCCTCGATTGTCAACTTTGATTATTTCAGGTTCCACATATTTGTGACCGCTCGTTTCGGGGTAACTGGACCCATCGGTATCTGGTGGTGGGTATTCTGAAAAGATAGACATGTTTAACAAGTTAAAAATCGCATTGAGAAATTCTATTTCTCACATAGGGACCGGTATTTTTTTTTATTGTTACTGAAGTATATTATTTTTTAAATGTGTTTTTAGTGTACAATAATTTGAGGTAGATATTATTTAATCACTAGATTTATTTCAGTTGAAGTGCCCACGGGTCGGTCCCAATTACTATCGTTACGGAATGACCCACCGTTGGGATCTTTAACGTGTTAAACAGTGACTTGGACTTTACAGCTGCACCGATAAAGAACGAATTCAGATGGCACCCAAATCCGCGTTTGGACTACGACCTTAGTCCCCCTTACGATCGGTCCCCCGTCCAATTCAACGGGGATCGAAATTACGACGGCCTGAACCGAGATTCAAACCCCAAGCGGTGCCCTCAGACTAAAATCGTATCCGTCAGGCGGGAGTTGGCCTTCAGCCGCTCCATAAGTCCTTCCGCGAGTTTGGAGTGCCATCTGCACTGGCCCCCTATCGTCCGGGGAAGCTGTAATGGCCAGCTGCAACCAACAGCATTAGAGTAGTCCGAAAACAAAGACCTTAGTGTGAGAGTACCGCTAGGGCTCTGTTACTGTATGACAAAACGCAGTTCTTAAGAACAGAAATCGCCGTGTTAACTTTCTCTTTAATAATATAACGTCTTAAGAAGTCCTTCCAATTACTTAATTATTCAATCTTTCTAATTACTTGCGTTTATAGCAAGTAAGTAAGACTCAGGGAATCAAAAAGGTAGTCTATCACCGATCGTCACCTAAAACGTTATTTTCTTCATAACTTACTACATTTTCAATACCATTACATGTGATTGAAGATTTTTTTTTTATTTATAACTCTTTATTGCACCTTAAAAACAATACAAAAGAAACAATATTCATAATATACTGAAAGGAAGGCTAGGTACAAAAGGTAGTCTTATCGCTAAAGCGATTTCTTCCAGACAACCTTTGGGTAGAGGAGAAAAGACAGATGGTGGTGGATGGCGCAAGATAGAATGAATAGACATAAATAATAATAGCAAATATATCATATATATCCATATATATATACATACACACATTATATAAATATAAAATTAAAAAAGTAAATTAGTAATAATACACAGTAACTAAGCAATGTGCAATTAAGAAAGAGACAATTTAGTAGAAAGGAAAGGATAGTAGAAAGACAATTTAATGAGATTATGATGATAAAAATTATAATGTTAAGTAAACAAGTATTATTGAAGTAACTTTTATTTATCTAAGTATTTATTACACAAACTATAAACTTCCTGCCGGGGTTTTCCCACGAGACTACAGCATGAGGTTTTTCAAGAAGGGTATATTAAGGTTTCTTAAGGGTCGGCAACGCGCACGTGATACCCCTGGTGTTCAGGCGTTCATAGGCTACGGTAACCGTTTACCATCAGATGGGCCGTATGCTTGATTGCAACCTTCACAGTTTAAAAAAAAATTGACTATATTGAATGAATGACTTACAAAGACTGAGTGACATAGACAACGAGAACAGATTTTTTATGTTTTTCATGTTAAGTACTCACCAGGTTCATTACCATATCCAGGCGGGAACTGGTCAGGGTTTCTGATTTGCACACAATGGTGTCTCACGTTATCCAGTATCCAATTGGGTTGGCACTCGCAACGGTAGCCACCGTTCGTGTTCACGCATATCTCTACAGCCGCGCAATTTGCTTGTCCGTTTGTACATTCATCAATATCTGAATAAAAATTAAATAATAATAACCTTGGACAATTCACACAGCGCCATCTAGCCCCAAGCTAAGCTGAGTTGATCTTATAATAATAATCTCAGGACAATTCACACAGCGCCATCTAGTTCCAAGGACATTCTCAATTTAACTGACTTTTTTTTTTTAATGTTTGTTATTTCATAAATCCGTTATTTATGAACCATTTTAAAACAAATCTTTTTTGTTTTCACATTGGTATTAAAGAAAACTATATAATGTGAGGAGTCGAACCCGCTATCATCAGAAATAAAGCAGTATGCCGCTAGACCACTGACTGCCGTGGCGCTACAACATGATTTAATAAACCTACCTTCACATTGGCCCGTTTCTGCGTTGTGATGGTACCCCGCATCACACAAGTTACGGGGTCTGAATGGTCTCAGTCTGGGAGGTCTATAGTCAGGGTATCCCCAGAAGTAGCGGCGAGCTGTCGGATAAATCATGCAAGAACAGATTTTTTACCACAAATAATTTCTCAGGACTATTCACACAGCGCCATCTAGTCCCAAGCTAGACAGACCTTAAGTTATGGGCACTAGACAACTGTTATGAATACATATATATTTTTTTCTTTGTATATACATAACGAGTACTAGAAAACGCCCAGACCGATTATACTTAAGAATGTAAATGTTTGTACCGTGCGAGGAATTGAACCCGCGATCATCAGAAGTAACGCGGTATGCTAAACCCCTAGACCCGTGGGGCCGTCATGTCAATGTAATGTATATAATAAAATATGAATATCACACAGGCTTCTGGTAGGCCTTAATAAGCGTACGTGTAAACGTTACACGCACAGCATCAGCTGAGTCAGCTCCTTTGCCCAGAATATTCATTGTTTTATATGTTGTTTAAGATTCTCATCTCTTTAAAGTTTTTGTTTTACAAACAGTGAACGAACTCAATATGTCATTTGTTCTGGCAATAAATAAATATTATTATTATTAATATATTTAGATTTTGTTGCTTTTGCGAATCAGTTTAGAAACAAAAACAAATCCCCCCGTTCAATTCAAATGGGGATCGAAATTACGACGGCCTGAGTCGAGGTTTGAACCCTACAACGCAATGATAGGTTGCCCTCAAACTAAAGCCGTATCCGTCGGGGGGGATTTGGCCTTCAACCGCTCCATAAGTCCATCCTTTGGTTTGGAGAGCCATCTGCACTCGCCTCCTATCATGCGGTGAAGCTCTAAAGGCCAGCTGCGGCCAACAGCATTAGAGTAGTCCGAAAAAAAATATAACAACAAAAATACAGGACTAAAGTCGTTGGTTCGTAAACTCAGCTATTTTGTAAAACATCCTCAAACTCACGTTTTTCGGTGGTTGATGGGGTAGTTGTAGGTGGTGTAGTACTGGTAGTCGAGGATGACGACGTTGGTATGATGTCACACACCCCTGTAGTCAAATCTCTACGGAAACCAGTTGCGCAGTCACAAACATAGGATCCCATAGTGTTCCTACAAGACTCTATTAGGCCAGAACAGACGTGCTGGTTTGTAGCGCATTCGTCGATATCTGGAATGAAAATAATGGTACAAAAAACATACCATCATAACTGTTACCTCAGAGGCTACTATTCAGAGGCTTTTTCGACGTCATAGTAACCTTGATATGCCGACATTTCTCTGAGTATATCAAAGAAATCATTCTTTGAATTCAAGGTAGCAGAAACTAGACTTGTTGTCGTAACTTTCCAATTTCTCTCAACTGAGTTGCCTTTATTAATGTCGGGTTGCAACCTGGTACATATATTTTGAAAATGGGAGAAATTTTCAAAAGATCAGTGATCGAGATTTTCTTGTAAAAGTTCGAGGGCCCTTGAGCTTGAGGGTCCCGGGGCACTGCCCCGCCTAGCCCCTAGGTAGCTACGCCACTGTATACTTCGCATAAAATATTTATTAAAATTATAGCATTTTTTTTTAATCTTTTGCTCATTCAGGACGCAGCGTCAGTCAAGAAGAATCTAAGTATAATAATAATCTTGTATTGAAATTATCGAAGACGCTAACATTCATATCTAAAACTATATATACCATTGAACACTTACCAAAACAAGCACCATATTCGTCCATTTCAAAACCACTTTGACAACTAGCTGGTTTCTCGTTTATTATAGTCCATTCGTTTTTAGGTACATTATTAGTATCGACAAAGATTGCACCGTCCTGAGTTTTTTCACCGTCCACACTTGCTGTATCTTTTCCGATAACAACATCAACATCAACTATTCTGGGAGAACCAAGAGTCGATGACGATTCTGTGGAAGGACTGTATGTAGTTTCCGGTTGCCTTGATGTATTTGGTTGAACTGATTCATTTATATCAGGCTCAGGTTCTTGAGGTCGGTAAGGTTGAATGGGTATTGATGGCTCAGGTTCTAGACTTGGCACCGGTTCCACTGGTTTAGGTTCTTGTCGACTTTGTTCCTGTTCACGTGTATTCGGTTCATAATAACTAATTGTGTCAGTTGGAGGCACTTCAACTACTTTAGGCTGTCTTTCTGAACTCTGTGGGGGTTCACTGTATGATACTTCTGGTGGATTAGTTGGTTGTACTTGTGGAGGTATAATTTCATTGGTTCTATCGTCTTTTTCCTCTATTTTATAGGTAGGCTCTTCCACAGTAGGTTCTTCACTTGGCTTAGGAGGTGGACTTTGGGAAATTGGAACCTCTGTAGTTGTAGTAACAGGCGTATCTATTTTGTTTTCTATTTTATTATCTGGTGATTGCGGTTTAGTTTCATTGTCTTCGTCAACTTCTTCACTGAAAAATACAAGATTGATTTCAAAGGTTTAATATCTCTAGATTGCCTCGCTCCCTTGCCATAAATAAATTATTAAAAATTATATTTTATATTTATATATGTACCTACAAGAAATCTATAAATGTCGTTCCCCACCCCAACTCAGATATCATCATAAATTTTAGTGACGTGTGTACCTTAAAAATTGTCAAATGAGATTGTACATAATTATAATGACATATAATACATTTTTTATCTTAAACTTACTCTGAGTCGACATAATAATATTCATATTCTGGTGCAGCTGTAGTGGTAGTGGTTCGTTTGCGCACACATCTAAACGAGCCCGGTATATTCACGCAGTGGTACTGAGGACCTGCGCGGGCGCAGTTGTGCGTGCCGAGGGAACATTCGTCGATATCTAAAAAGAAAAAAAACCTTGAATAAAGTAAATCATCTAGTCACAACTGAACACTTCTCAGGGCCATCTAGTCCCAAGTTTAGCAAGCTTTTGTTATAGGTCTAGACAACTAATGAATATATTATAAACGCAAAAGTTTGTGAGTAGGGATTAATGAATGTTTATTACGCTTTCACGCTAAAGCTAATGAATGGATTTTAATAAAACATTACAATAATATAGTTTATACATCAGATAAACATATAGGCAAATTTCACGAGAGTGAAACCACGGGTATAGCTAATCATACTCCTTAAAACAATACTTCACATATTTTTTACGAATTACAATTGTATTTATAATTTCTGACTTCTCAACTAGGATCAGTTGTGAGACAGAAGTAAGTTCCTTACCAATACACATTAATTTATCGTGAACTGATTCAACACAGTAGAATTGATCAATCAATATAGAAAAATGTATTATATAAAAATTAAAGTATTTTTTTATTATTTGCACAAGATTGCGTGTGCTTTGTATATATGTAATACGTTATACGTATGCTTATGGTAAATGTATGCGTCTAATATATGAGAGCGGTTGTAAACGCAACGAATAAAACAAGATCGAATATCAAGTAACTTTTACATCCAATAACGAAAGAAATTCTCGGTATCAACATAATGTAGTTGGTTTTAGTATGGAAATATGTCTATCTCGTACCCTCACAAACTCCAGTAGCATGATGTAAGATGTATCCAGTACCGCATGAGAGGTACCTGACGCAGATAAATGATCCCACTGTATTGTCACATCGTTGGGAGTCCGCCAAGCAATTGTGTTGGTCTGTTGCACATTCGTTCACATCTAAAAACAAATAATAATTATAAGCCACGACAATTGATAATAACTAAGCAGAGCATTTTTTATCTAAGGAGACTTTATATTAAGTTATCTATGTGGGTATCTGGCGAGTGATACAGTTCCCAGCAAGCTGTATTTTAGTCAATGGTGAGATAATGTGCTTCAATATGGCAACGTCATTTTCTAAAATATTTGAAAATGTAATTCACTTGATACTTATCAATTTCTCTAAAGTTACTAGGTAGTAATCAATTTGGATTCCAAAAAAAAAATCAACAAATTCGGCAATATTCATTCTGAAAAATGTATGGGAAGCCGCAAATACAAAAACTTCCTGCGTTGGTTTCTTTCTTTCGAAAGCATTCGATTGCATAAATCATGACATAATTTTGAGCCAATTGGAAAATTTTGGTGTACGTTGCATAGTATATATAAATTAATTACTAGTTATTTAGAAAATAGACAACAATACACTGTCATTAACAAGTTAAACACTAAGAACAACACTATGGAAGAGATACATTCCATTTATGTAAAAACTGTTGTTGGTGTCCCACAGGGAAGCGTTCTGGGCCCTTTATTATTTTAGTCAGCATAAATGATTTACCGAAAATAACGAATAATCTTTGTATCATGTTTGATTTGTAGATGATTCAAGAATTGTTATATTATTCATTAAACTACAACAAGAACATAGTCCTTTGTATATTTGGAACCACACACAAAGCGTTGCGATGTCTCGCCTCAAGCTAAGTTCGATACCGCCTGAATCTTTGTCTACTGTACAAATTAGAGAATTTAGAAATGATACAAACTCACCAACACACGCAGAGGTGATTATGTCCAGTTCGTAACCAAGTTTGCAGTGGCACTCATGGCTACCATTGGTGTTCAGACAATTCTGATGCCGGTCACAAAGGTGGATTCCTTCCAAGCATTCGTCGATATCTGCGAATAAAACAATCGGGTTTGTTATTTTGTTATCTACACAAATAAATAATAATCAATGGATAAACCCTGGACAACTGATATTAATACTTAAATATTTCAGAATTTGAGATTTTTGCCTTTTTATTTTTATTTAGCTTGCCTTGAAAATTGTTTTCTAGAGGAAGGGTCAGTTATGTAATGAAATTTCATGATATAGAAGCATTATAGGTTTATTAAAGGTCATGAACGCGCACGTGACATCCCTACGGTAACCGTTTACCATCAGATGGGCCGTATGCTTGTTTGTCACCGTCATAGTACTAAAAAAAGTCCGTCGGTATGGCATAAGTGATACTACGGGAGTTTTAAACGAATAACTGTTATAATATTTAATATTACAGTATTACTTACCTTCACAGATTGTGGAGCCAGGTCTATGTCGCATACCATCAGGACACGATGTAGACAGTCTGTAAAAATAATAGACTTGAATAGAAAAGAATATAATTTTATGTAAAAAATACAAGCAATAATTTAGAAATTTAAAAACAGAGTTAATTGACTACAACTCAGCGTAATTTTGGAAACTTAGTTTGGAGGGCTGATTTTCAGTTGGGTCCACAGCACGCAATATACATAAACAGAACTCTCAAATATTTAGGGAATATACATATTATTACGATTCAGTGTTAGCAAAATATGTTGTTACAATTATGACGGTATCAATATTTTCAATTCTAACTTCTATGTAAGAAATTAATATTTTATAACCATGGCAGATTGTCGTCGTCAGTGCCGTGACCATAGAGACAATTTTATTTTACATATTTTATTATTATTTCTTATGTATGTTAGTCTATAAGGTATTTATAATATGGGCCATGTAGCCTGAATTAAATAAATAAATAAATTCCGTAAAATTTCATTGTAATTCCCCCAGATTTTATTTTGGTGAAAATGTAACAAACAGACAAATTGTTTTCGCTACGACGCCATTTTACGGTTTTATTAATTGTAAAGAAAATAATAAATACCTGCTCGGATCCAGCTTGGGTTTACAATCGTATTGTCCAAGTTGATTCACACACATTTGGTCAGGCCTGCAGATTTCTGAACTTTCTTCGCATTCGTCTATATCTGAAAATTGTTGCATATCCTTAAGAACTTAAACTTGCTACATCAGGAAGCACGCTACGGCGCCTTGTTAGAAACTATTGAAGTTGACCACTTAAAGCCTTCTGTCCTGACCATGGCGAGCCAATTAGTTGGTGCAGTTATGTGATAGGATGTAGAGAATTCCTTGATATCCATTAAGGAGTTCTCTACATCCTACCTCTAAAAAAAAAATATAAATTTAATAGAATAGAAAATTCTATTCTGTTCTATTCCTACCTCTTAAAAAAAAATATAAATTTAATAGAATAGAAAATTCTATTCTGTTCTATTCCTACCTCTTAAAAAAAAATATAAATTTAAAAACGAATATATCCATATTATGTTTAAAATTTATAATTTTTTTTGACATAATTATTTTTTTGTAACAACCTACTACATATGACTGTCGTACTAGTTGCAATTTACTCCTAGATCTGATGAAATGCAGATGCAAATACACTTCTACTCAGCAATAAGACCGCCTTATTGTAACGATACATGTGTCTTTTAATATATTGTTTAAGCCGTTTCTTTACTGTGTGTTACAAATAAAGAATATTCTATCTTCTATTTCATAAAGACTAATCTGTTATTTTTAGATATTACAAATTTGGATTTAGCTGTTCATTTAATAAATCACTATTAATTGGTTTCCACGAGTTGGTATATAAATGCTCATTACTAGATGATAAAAAATAACAACAGTAAATAATAATGAATACTGCGCCATATATTATTTCAGTAACAAACTAGTAAATACAATATCCGGCGACGTAATTAATATATACATAAAATTATTTCATATCACCAATTTTATTCTTTCAATCTTTCTCTAGCCCATAATCATAAACAAACAGACAGTTTTCGATATAATTATATGTACAGAAAACACTATATTTATTATGTAATATTATCTTATCTGTGTTATTATTATTGTAATTATATATATGTTCTTTAATATATTGTTTACCAGCTGATCTGCGCAATTTCGTTTACATCATACTTATATTTTGCCAAATTTACATAATATCTATTTATACTATAACTGTACATATAGCTAATACTCATATATTATATTAACACATACTTACTCCAATATACAAGTATTAGCTATATGTAAAGTTTCATCAAAATGCATTTAGTAATTTTTGTGTGAATGAGTAACAATCATCAACCCATCCAACCCTAATCACACTCTTTCGCGTTTTAAAAATTAGTAAGAATTTCATTATATTATAAACTAGCTATTCGCCCCGGCTACACGGGCATACATGTACATATATTATATATACAAAACATCGCTCTAGAATCACTTTATCTATAAAAAAAAACCGCTTCAAAATCCGTTGCGTAGTTTTAAAGATTTAAGCATACATAGGGACGGACAGACAGCGACAGCGACTTTGTTTTATACTATGAAATGGTAAAGTTTCATCAATCTCTGTACTCTCGAGTACTGCCGATTTCCAAATCAATTTACAATTAATATAAAATGGCTATTTAAAATACACTTACCTTCACATTTGCTAGTCCTGCTGTTTATTTTGAAGCCGGGTGGGCAATGTTTGGACCCTTTGTCCTGACAATGGAAGGATCCACGTGTGTTGATGCAGAACTGAGAGATGTGATTGCAGTCATCCTTGTGAATAGCACACTCGTCCACATCTAAACAATATATATCATGATTAATCACAGGACAAAGATAATATGGCAAGAAAAGAAGTGAGTAACGATATAACTGCGATCGGAGATGAATGGGAAGAAAAATATACTACACCGACCCCGATAAGGAAGAAGATGATAATAGTAATCACAGCTACAATTTAATATTATCGATACTTGATGATAATGACGCATAACTATGGAATAACTCTACAGCCCAAACACAGGAACACTTAATTAAAAACTATATAATATATTGTCCGTTTGTCTGTCATGTTCTATATCAGGTTGATCTCCACGCAGTTCTCCCTGAAAATCATCATAATCGATTCCCATTAAATCTGTCACGATCTGCTCACCTGACCTCATGCTCATCTTATGATCCGCGCTAACGATCCACTCGTACCGCGTACGCTGGCACCAGTGGAGAATCGTTAGCTCGGGCGGATGCTCCATTCCATTAAAAAAAACTATGTATTTATATTTATAGCTGTCAGTTTGTATTGTCCTATATGATGGTTTGAACTAGATGGCGCTGTGTAAAGTGTCCAGGATTGTTTATTTATGTTTATCATCTATAACAAAATATGGCATAATACCTTCACATTCCTCATTGAAACCAGTTTTGAATCCCGGCGGGCACCGATCATCAGGCGGGGTTCGCATGGTGCTCGACAAATTGTTGGGGTCTCCAGTAACGCCCCCACACTTGTAAGCTCCAATTGTATTCTCGCACAAATATGATGGACATGGGGGATACGGTAGGGTGCATTCATTTATATCTGCAAGAGGAAATCATAACTATCAACAATGGTATTTACGGGACAACAACTCATAACCGAGATTGACTAAATATGCAGGCCTCTCTTCCCCACTGTGCATATTGGGCACAGCCCAGGGCCCCGCGATGGTCTAGTCCTAGCCCCCTAGTCTAGTCTAGTCCCTACTCCATTACCAAACAATAACCTATAGCAACTCTACTCTCAGCTGAAAATCCGTCTAAACCAACTATGGTCAATTTGTTCGTTTTTATTATTTTTTTTAATAAATGTCTATCAAGAACTTAAACCCCTCATCACATAACGACTTTTTAATATTATTTTTCATAGGGGCCTTATCCTAATATGCCCAGGGTCTCTAATAGGTGAAAGACGGCCCTGCCTATATGATCCACCAAGCAGCTTGTTTTGTAAGCTGTGTCTTGGTTGTAGGGTCCAGTTTAGGCAGTGAAATAAGTGTAAGTGAATACGTCGCATCATATCGAATTGAAGGGGTCGAAACGCCCAAATATTGTACCCATAACTTTAGAAAAGTTTCTGTTTTATGTAATTAGAAAGACAACCAAGCTAATAGTCCAGGCTGAGCACGTGGTAAGCGGTAACCGTCACCAGTAGACACAGCAATATGGACACCACGTTATCAGATATCACCCGCTGTACACGTTTTTAATAGTGGAAAGAATCAATAAATAAATCAAGGTGTATAGTAGAAGGAATTGATGAGAAAATGAACAACATTTATTTAAAAGAGTCTGCATTCCGAATTAATGGTGAATCAAAAAAAGTTTATTTGAATAAAGATTATTTCTATTCTAATGAGAATGCACGCAAACGACTTTACCTATACAAAGGCGACTTGGATATCTATTCTTAAAGAATGAAAGTTTATATAAAATTTCGTAATTTTTAAAGGTATTAATATTATTAATACAATTTAGTACAACACACTTTGGTTTTATTAAAGAAAACAGACATTTCAGGTATTTTATACTCTCAATACAATATGAGATGAAATTACATTAAAAAACCTACCATCGCATACATTGTTTAAAAGATTCCTCTTGAAACCTGGCGGACATTGACCCTTCTCCATATTATTCTTCTTCACCGGCATGCACTTATACGAACCCTGTACATTGTAGCATTGTGTACCGGGTAGACAAACAGGAGGGTTTAGTACGCATTCGTCGATATCTGAAACAGGTAATGGAATTGTTGTGTAATATAGATGACCTCAATGCTAGCAATGTACCATATCAGGTTGAGGTCCGCGAAAACCATCATGTTAAATTCTTGGTGAATTTATCACAATTGGCTAACTGACCTCACCTCATGTTCATCTTATCAGCCACCACTGGTGCGCAGATGGGAGCACCATTCCATTTAACATCCATAAACAAAATACCACGGATCTGGAAGCCCGGAAGGACCCAGGAAGCATCTATCATTAATAAATAGTCATAATTTGAAACATTTTAGAAAAGTACTCTTGATATTTCAGACGTCCATAGGCTACGATAATCGCTTACTATCACATGGACTGTATGCTTCTTTGCCACCTACGGTACGGTATGGTTAAAAAAAAATAAAGCGGTTCCGACATGCGATGAATTTACTGAAGGGCTTATTTAACTTATTTAAGCTTAAGCTTTATTTAAGCTTATTTATCTTCTTGTTTGGTATCAATGACAACCCAAATATTATTGGACCATAAACTAGAAATTTCCATGGCACAACACCTTGATCAGATCTTCCAACTATGCTTCCAGCTATGGTTACGCTACTTGGTTTGTTTATACATATATTATTATATGTATGCTAGTAGTACAGTAGTTGAAATTCGACCATAATCAATTTGACCACAGACTTTAACATTAAACAAAAGATTATAGTGTCAAATATATGGTAGTGTGTAAAATGTTTTTTTTTCTGATTTACAAACACAATATTTGAATCTGTACTCCTTCTTTGTATAAACTATAAGTGTGCGAAATTTCATACGTTTCCATCCGCGCAATTTTCTTGAAAAGGCGTTCAAAGTTCTTGCACACGTGTGCTTCACGTATTATTTTAATGTTACCTTTACACGACTTGCCGTCCGCCATCAGTTCGTATCCTCTACGACACGAACACTTAACTTCAATACCGTTGTCATTACACTTGTGTTGACACGGGTTCCTTGGTTTACATCTGTTCTTTTCTACCTGTGAAAAGAGCACATTCATTTTGTTAACTACTAAAACTTTACAAGTTTAGCCCAACATGCAATGGCGGCCTTAAGAGCGTCGCTCTTGCAGGGGCCTTGTGTAAAACAAAGCAAATTTTAAACAACCAGTAAGTGACATTTTACCTAGTGGCAAGTTACAAAAACTTCCTGGTTTAGGCATTTAATAGCAAATGAACAAAATTACCAACACTAAAATATACAAATAAATAAAATCCACAAAAAAAATGTAAAATGATACACAGTTTTCTTGAATCTGCAGAAAATTTCCGCATAATCGTTTACATACTTTTCGTGGCCTCGCAATGGGTAAGGCCTCCGTTGCCCATATGTTATTTGTTTAAAATCAACCCTAATCCCGTTGTAAGCACAGATTATTAAGGCCAGTTAGTTTCACCCCCTTTTTTCCCTTACCTATGACGGTACGGGCCACTTCGTCTCAAGCACCCACGTTCCCTAAATACAAGTGGAAACATAACCTAGAATCTGCTAAGTGTTAAGGAGCCCAGGAAACTCTATCATACAAGTACCTAACGGTTCCACATTTAGTAGTTTCGAAGACCTTAATAATTGGTAATACTTTGACCCACACTCAGCATATATTGTGACAGCTTACAGAGCTGATATTCTGTGTAGGCGATGTGACTACATGAACAACCAATTGCCATAAATTTATTAGAAAAAAAACAATAATAAAATATATAGGGGGAAAGGATTGTTAGCCATGTGAACTAATTACTCCATCGCTAGCAATGTACCAAGTCTGGTTGATCTCCATACGGTTCCTCCTGGAAATTATCCTGATAAATTCCTAGTGAATTTGTCACGATGGGCCAACTGACCTGACCATCATATCGTTCTTCACTGGTGGTGGTAAACCGTTAGAGCAGACGGTTGCACCATTAATCATCCAAATAAAAAATTATAAAATATACACAGACAAGCGTTCTTAATGTTGGCAACTTTAAGAGAAAACCTTAAGGCAATATTTCTTCGTTTTTTTTGTTTTTGGCAAATCTTTTAGCTCTGTCGGTCTTTTCTATGTCTCTTTTCTATTATGTTAGCCGCAGTTGGTCTTTACAGCTTTAACGGACGATAGGGACGAGAGCATATAACACTCCAAAACCGTTAAAGAACTTATGAAGCGGCTGAAGGTCGACTCCCGCTTGACGAATACGACTTTAGTCGGAGGGCACTGCTAGGGGTTAGAACCTCGGCTCAGGCCGTCGTAATATCTATCCCCGTTTCATTATACGGAGGGGACTATTTTCCCGTGCAAGAAATTACATTTGCGACGCAAAGCAGTGTTCTAAACCACAATCCTCAAATGGTTGGTGTTGGCGTCCCACATCCGAAAACTCTTTTGATATTTTTATCATTTTTAAATTTATATTTACAGAACAATTATTTTTATATGTCATGTTATTTGATTATGGTGCACATTAATATATTTTATTATCATAATCTACGTGTGTATTTTTCATTTAGTACATTCCATACAGACCACCAATCCGTTACAATTAGTATATAATAAACTAGCAACTCGCCCCTCGTGTATTATTATATATATAAACCTCCCTCTTGAATTACTCTATCTATTAAAAAAGCCGCTTCAAAATTGCGTAGTTTTAAAGATTTTAGCATACATAGGGACGGACAGACAGCGACAGCGACGTTGTTTTATACTATGTCATGATGAATAATATATTTGTCACCTCTATACAATTTTTTCCGTCGGCCATTAGTTTATATCCCGGGTTGCACTCGCATTTGAATGACCCCGGCACTGGTATACAATGATGCGCGCACAACTCGTTAGGAGCGTAGTCTTCACAAATTGATGGAATTGCTGAAATATATAATTTTTTATTAGTTCATCATCATCATCATCAGCCCACTGCAGTCCACTGCTGGACATAGGCCTCTCCCAAAGCACGCCACTGGGCACGATCTTCAGCCCTTCTTTTCCAATTTTTACCCGCAACCCTACGTATGTCGTCGCTCCACCTAGTTAGTTAATTCATCAAAAATATGCCCATATGTACCTTTTTAACCTAACATCACTTGGATGACCATTTTACTTATAAATTGAGTTGTTTATAGAAAATACTAACTTCAGTGAAGTTGAAAAACTACATCAAATTTCTTTTTTGGTGGAATAGAATAGAAAAGATGTTTTTATTACAAATGAATGTGAATAAAGCGAGAGGAAGTTTGAAAAATATAGGAATGGACTGTATGAAAGATGATATGATAACAAAGGGAGTAAATAATAAGATGACTGCGAACAGTGATGAATGGAAGAGAAAAACATTACGCCGACACAAAATAAATGGCATAACGAAAAAGCAGATGATGATAAGATTTTTTTTTTAAATAAATTTAAATTTAAGAAGTTTTGAATAATGGATTGGCGCCAATGTCATCGCAATACAATAAGAGACCACTTACTGTGACTTGGTCGCCTGGACAAGGTATTTTCAGGTACACGAGACTCAACTTCTTTACTCCGTTCTTTGGCGGCTTTCTAAAAAAAAATCTTCTGTCAATCAAGCATCTTTAAAAAACAAACAGTCTTATACTTCAGCCTACATTTGACATGGAAGAAATTTTAGATAAACAGATTAAATCTGTTTCTTTGGACAGAGTTATTCTTATATTTATAACTAGCTGTTCCCGCGACTTCGTCCGCGTGGATTTTAACTTTATTTTTCTAAAATTTTGAGTTTATTCTAAAATAAAAGTAGCCTAAGAGTAACTTAGCTGTTCTCGCGACTTCGTCCGCGTGGAAATTAACTTTATTTTTCTAAAATAAAAGTAGCCTAAGTTACTCCTTATTACATCAGCTACCTGCCAAACAAAGTCCCGTCAAAATCGGTCCAGCCATTTCAGAGATTAGCCGGAACAAACAGACCGACAGACAGACAAACAAAAATTGTAAAAAATGTTATTTTGGTGTATGTACCGTATTTATATTCATATGCAATTAGTAAAAAAACGGTTATTTCAATATTACAAACAGACACTCCAATTTTATTTATAAGTATAGATTAGCTGGGCCGCGCAACTTCGTCTGCATTACACTTACGTACGTTACTGCGTAAGGTTTTACAATAAAATACCAGAGTCTGTTATAAATCTGCCAGAAAAAAGATTTAAATGTCAAATAAAACACTTCCTTTGCAAAAAAGCTTACTATAAAATTGAAGAATTCGTTAACGATAATAATGTTTTTGTAGAAAAATTTTAAAAACATAGCACTGACAATATTATCTGATTACACTAATAATGAGTGCGTAGCGATTTCTATGTTGATTGTCGCATGCCTCTTACTTGTTACACTGTAATTATTTATATAAAAAAACATCTATTAAAAAGAGCAACACACAAGTTTCTTGCTCATTCTTCTTGTGATGAATCTGCATTCCGAATGAGTGGTAGAATCAAAATATGACTACTCAAAAGTGCTTGTAATGAGTTTATTTGAATAAAGATTATTTCTATTTCTATTTCTTACATTACATTTATTTTAAGCTCAATTTATATACTACCACTTTAAATTATAGCCGATGTATAAGTTATATTACTGTAAAGTTTCATCAAAATCCTTTCAGTAGTTTTTGTGGGAAAGAGTAACAAACATCTATCCATATTCACAAATTTTCACGTTTATAATATAACTAGCTACTCGCCCCGGCTTCGCCCAGGTTTACATGTATTATACATATAAACCTTTCTTTTGAATCACTCTCTCTATTAAAAAACCGCTTCAAAATCTGTTGTGTAGTTTTAATGATTTAAGCATACATAGGGACGGACAGACATCGACAGTGACTTTGTTTTATACTATGTAATGATAGTAATAGGATAAAATAGATGATATTGATTGATAATTGTTTTTCTTTTTTATATTTTTATATCAATTATTAATTTATTAAATTCACCAAAATGCAATTAAATTGCATTTTGAAGAAACTTTACAGTAATATATGTAGTTTATTTATACATCAGAATAACATGTAGGCTATAGATTTCACGTGGGTAACACAGGACACAGCTAATATATATATAATATGTACATATTATACAATATAATAAATATTACCTGACAACATTTGCTGAATGCGTTAAATTGAAGCAATTCTTCTGCGCTGGTAGATGCAGTATGTACCACGCAGACCTCCTCACCCCTGGACACGCCACTGGAGGTTCCTCGGAGACACTCCTTACAGCATACCTGTTACGATTATTTTTAAACTATCGTGTTTAATACACATTATTGGGGGAGCGGATTGTTAGTCATATGGGCTGACCCCATTGCTTACTAATGTATTGCAATGTACCACGTCAGGTTGACCTCCACGCGGTTCCCCCTGAAAACCATCGACGTAAATTGCCATTTGCCGGGCGGAAGGGGATTGTTAGTAATGAGGACCCATTGCTAACAATGTACCATGTCAGTTTGACCTCCACGCGGTTCCCCCTGGAAACCATCGACATAAATTGTCATTTGCCGGGAGGAAGGGGATTGTTAGTAATGTGGACCCATTGCTAACAATGTACCATGTCAGGTTGACCTCCACGCGGTTCCCCCTGGAAACCATCGACGTAAATTGCCATTTGCCGGGCGGAAGGGGATTGTTAGTAATGTGGAGCCATTGCTAACAATGACCATGTCAGGTTGACCTCCACGTGGTTGCCCCTGGAAACTATCGTGATAAATTCCTGGCGAATTTTGTACGATGGGCTAACTGACCTGACCTCATGTTCATGTTGTCATCCTCCACTGGTGCCCCGCCAGCGTAAACCGTTACCGCAGGCGGGTGCACCATTACATTATCATCCCTAAAAAAAATCGCCATTTGCCAAGATGGACTGACTGGCCAGACTTTATCATCCTCTAATGGTGCCCCGCCAGTGTATACTGTTAGCGCAGGCGGGTGCATCATTCCATTATCATCCATAAAAAAATACATGTTATTTATATCGTTAGACTGTAGTTTAATGGCACAAAATGGTATTTACATTTAGTTTTTTCTACTATAGTCACTAGATGGTAAAAAATATAGTGATGGTAGAAGGAACTGCAGGTATTGTATTGTATATTGGACGTCAGTCTCCGCAATTAGCCTCTCAGCTATCGACTGCAGGCACTGCAGGGCTGCAGGCACCTATCGACATTGACTGTTACTCCATTCAGCTCATGACCACGGCTAGTGGAAACTAGTCTGTTAATACTCATGCTAGCTTAACATAGTTGTATAGCTATGACGCTCTAGTCATCCTTCTGCGTCTGTGCCAATATTGTGCGTCTGTGGGCCATTACGTTTGCGCGGGAAAATAAAGACTACAAAATTCACTTCCTCGACAGACTTACTAATTCTCCTATGCTCCTACACAAATTTTGCAGTTTTTGCATTTCTTCGGTAGACAATTCTCTTTTGGTCCTAATTCCTAACTCATTTATACTAATGATTAAACCTTTATATATCTGCAATTTACTCCTAATATTGATGAATGACGACCTCAGTGGTCTAGCGGTCTAACACACTGCTTTACAACCGATGGTCGCGGGTTCGATTCCTCGCACGGCACATACATTTGTATTCATGAGTATGATTGTTTGTATCGGTCTGGGTGTTTTCGATGTATAATATGTATGTATATACAAAAAAATATATCTATGTATATGTATCAGTTATCTAGTATCCATAACACAAGCTTTAGCTAGCTTAACTTGTGTCTAGATGGCGCTGTGTGAATTGTCCAAAGATTATTTTTAATATATAATAAACTACTTATATACAACAAACCTGAATATAAATACAGCCCCTACTAACATACCTAACATAATCGAAACGTCGAGAAAAAAATACCTTTATTTACCATTAAATTATTCTTGTTCTGACCCAATTAATTATAATGATATTATTAGATGGAGTCAGCTCATCTAGTGTAACCGAAATTAAAACATCGAGAAAGGTAAATACTTTTATTTACCATATAAAACTATCCGTGCTAAGACTCAATTAAGCATAATAATATTAATATATAGAGTCAGATCGTGACCACGGCTAGTGCAACCTAGTCAAAACGTCAAGAGAGATATATATATATCTTTATTTACCATAAATTTTTTAGTGTTAAAACCCGGTTAACAATAACTTCTGCTATTAATCATTGCTCTTTTATGTCTGATGATATTTATTGTACTGGTGATTTCGAATATTTTATTGTTTTTATCCATAACAAACTAAAAATTTAATTTATTTAATACCAGCTACCAGCCCTGTCCGCGTATTATATATGTAAACCTTCCTCTTGAATCACTCTATCAATTGCTAAAAATTGCTTCAAAATAGGTTGCGTAGTTTAAAAGATCTAAGCGAATAGAAAACGGAAGCGACTTCAATTCATAGTATGTATTAGATTGAAGGATTTTGAGGTATATCCAGTCCGTAATCTAGTTTGAAATGATATAAAAGAAAAGATTAATTTCTATTTTCGTCGTTGAGTAACCGAGTGCGGTTAGAATAAACAAACGGAATCGTCCAATTTTAGCGGTCCCAACAAACGTTTCTGACGGCTTGGTACCACGCTAATTTTGTAGCCAATTAACTCTCAATCTGAAACTCAGAATCAGTTAAGGGTATTCGTATAAGATATTTTAGTTATGCATTCGACGTTAGAACATTTATTTATTTAATTGATGCTAATAATAAACGCTTTTATTCAGCACTAGCTGTACTTCGCGACTTCGTCCGCGTGGAATTTAATTTATTTTCTAAAATAAAAAAATAATTAAAATATATCTTATATATAAAATTCTCGTGTCACAGTTTTCGTTACCATACTCCTCCAAACGGTTTGACTGATTCTCATGAAATTTTGTGAGCGTATTGAGTAGGTCTGAGAATCGGCCAACATCTATTTTTCATCCCCCTAAATGTTAGGGATAGTCCGCCCCTAAATTTTTTAATTTTTTTTTTTAGGTAAAACTACGTTTGTCGGGACAGAAAACAAAGAAGTAATTGTAAATTTAGAAATAAAGGGCTTTATTATTATTATTTTACATATCTCCCTTTTTACGAAGGCAATACATCAAACACGCGGGCCTTAGCCAAGCGTGGATGAGTTAAAAAGTTATTAGAGGATGATGCATTCACATGCATCATCCAACTCCAATTTTATTTATATGCAATAGATAATCACTTATCTATTGCATATAAATAAAATTGGAGTACATACATATACTGCATGCATATGAATATAAATGCGGTACATACAGCAAAATAACATCTTTTACAATTTTTGTCAGTCTGTCTGTCTGTTTGAACCGGCTAATCTCTTAAAAATGGCTGGAACAATTTTGATGGGACTTTTCTTGGCAGGTAGCTGATGTAATAAGGAGTAACATAGGCTACTTTTATTTTAGAAAAATAAAGTTATATTCCACGCGGACGAAGTCGCGACAACATCTAGTTATTATATATTACTTAAAAGTTAAAACATACTGGTAACACTGAAAGTGACGGCCACTCTTAAAATGTTATGCATCTTTTGATAGATTTATATTATTTTGTTGAATTCCACTACCATTCCATATCATTTGCCACAAATATTCAATGCTGACCTGACCACCGCTACTGGAAGCGTTACGAGCTTCTCTATTGGTGATCAAATTCCGACCGTTATTGGATCTACACCCATATAACGTTTCACTTCAAAACGAGGCATCAAAACAAATATTTTATGGGCTACTTAAAAGTAACATTAAATGTATTACAATAAAGAATATTTTCCAAAATAAATCAGTGTTGAATATAATCTAGTCATACTAAAAGTATGGATGGAATTTCTTTGTGATATATATATGTACTTACGTACTTATACTTAAGGATGTGTCTCATATTATATTATTATGGTAAACACTGCACAGATATCGTTGTATGTTATCTGTTTAAACATACCGTCTGTGATAAGAAAGTCCCGTTACCTAGTTACCTAGTGAAGATTATGTAATATAGGTTATCATTGCCCCGTTCCCGCGCTTTTTCAGTAGTATTTTTTTATCTACAAGTGGCAAAGGCAAAGGTACAAAATCATAGAGTCTAATCTATTGAAGTGATAAATTTTTAGAAATCTCTTAATTCCTTAAAGTGAACTTTTCATTAATTAATAAACATTTTATTAAAAATTTCGCCATGAAAATGAACGGCAAAGAAACTATATTTATACAGACATATACATTTTAAGTTTATTTTTTAATACTCGTAATAATTAAATGATCATAATTTATTCTTAATTCTTGTGTAAACTTGAATAATAAAGTTTTATTTTTTATTTTACTTATATCTAACTAGCTACCTGCCCCGTCTTTGCACGGGTGTGCATATATTATACATATAAACCTTACTATTTATTCACTCTATCTATTGCTAAAAACTGCAGTAAAATCCGTAGACTAGTTTAAAAGATCTAAGCGAACAGACAGTCTTTTTTATTTTAATATTTATGCATCAGTGGACTATTCTATCAATCCCTAAGAAAAATAACTGTCTGTATACATAATGATATGATACATATATTTATATATATGTTTACGATGAATGTTTGTTTGTTTAGTAACAAATTCTTTGTATATAAACATACCTTTCCTGACTCGGCGACGTTGTCACATCTGCTTGTGCTAGTCGCTATGTCGATACCAGTGTCGCAGTCCTGCATTTTTCTGAAAACATATTAATCCATAGTAACATTATACATGTACATACATATACATCACAGGAGACCGAAGAGCTGGCAGCTACCTCGGACAAAGAATTAGTATAGCCAGTGGCACTCAATGAGGAAGTAGCCATTATTATTGCTAAAAGTTGCATATAGATGGCGTGATTGGTATCGATGGAATTCTTCATAGTTTTGCAAACGTTTTAAAAAACAAAACTGTGTTTTCAAAAATGTTTAATCAATTTTTAAAAAGTTATATATACATGTTAAAATGAAATAATGCGTTTAGAAAAGTAATTTTCATATATTTACTCATTTTGTTATTTTCCAGTACTTAATTACACTTTAATCAGTGCTAATATGTGGCTCAATGTTTTCAAAATGCTTTCATAGATGGCATTGTCGTCAATTTGTATCGGCATAATTAAATGTCTTTTTTATATTTTCCAATAATAAGCACTTAATATATTATTATTGTAAATTAAACATATAAAATTTTTTTAAGTAAATTAAAAATAGCCGAACAAGCAAGTAATAATATTTCCAATAATACTTATGTATGAAGTGTTGTCATATTATAAATAAATACATATTATCGATTTTTTTTAATAATCGATAACAGGATTTTATTACGCATTATTCGATGATGCTTTTAATGAATCGTTGTGAACAGTAATTTTTCATTATTTTGTATTATAGCAGTGTTCCGTATAGTAGTACATTATTAGTGTCGTTGGTTATTTGCAATTGTACTAAAAATCGATTACATAATAATTTAAAATATCGAGTACGAATCGTAGTTGTCTTCGAATACTAGCAACTGGTAAGATTAAATTAGTATTTAAAAAAAAGAGAGAAATCGATCCTAATTCGAATACCATAAAGTTGATTTTCCTTTCTCATTAATATCATAGCAGTTTGTTTTTAACTTGCGTATGACTCTGTGGTATGATGTTTAACGTGTATTGTTATTGTACGGTATACATTTCAAAAATTATATTTTAATGTAGGTACATACATTACTTTCATACATTTCAAAAATTATATTTTAATGTAGGTACATACATTTCTTTCATACATTTCATACATGTCAAAAATTATCTTTTAATGTAGGTACATACATTTCTTTCATACATTTCATACATGTCAAAAATTATCTTTTAATGTAGGTACATACATTTCATACATTTCAAAAATGAACTTTTTATGTAGGTACATACATTTTTTTCATACATCTCATACATTTCAAAAATTATATTTTAATGTAGGTACATACATTTCATAAATGTCAAAAATTATCTTCTAATGTAGGTACATACATTTCATACATGTCAAAAATTATCTTTTAATGTAGGTACATACATTACTTTCATACATTTCAAAAAGTATTTTTTAATGTAGGTACATAACACCCCATGTCAGACCCCTTGTATTTGGAAGAAACTTAAAAATAATGCCAAAAATATTAGATGAATATATTTTTAATTCGAATATTGTTTTATTTTTGTTCATCAACTTTATCCCTCACTAACAATACTAGTAGTAGTACATAACCTGGTTTATACCGCTAAAGATATTGAAAGATATACGAGTAATTCAGAATGTTTGGCGTGAAAGCGAGACAAATAACAACTGAGTTACTTTAGCATTTATAATATTTTTAAGAATATCGCTATTAAAAATAGGGGTTGGTGAAAGACGGGTGAAAATTTAGGCGTGTATGTATTTTCAATGTAACATTATAAATAAAAAAAAATTGTCCATAATACAAAAAAATATTTTTTCGGGGTAGGCCACCCCTATGACTTAGGGGTATAAAAAATAGATAACAACCCTACCTCAGACCTGGCAAGTATACATATCAATTTTCATCATGGGAGAAATATGGCAACTAACACTGTGATACAAAATTTATATATTGTAATACACTACCACTAAGTAGATATATATATATAGCTTCGCGCTGTTGGCTCGTTGCTAAGCAACAGATATAGCGGTTGGGTAACGGGAAGTTGGTCGTTGAATACCGCACGTAGCGCAATAGTCTTACAACTTATTTTAATTATTTTTATGACGATCCAACAATATAAGATATAGCGGAATTCTCATTAGGTAAAAGAGGTACCCCTCTTCGTAGAATACATGAATATACCAGTAAATTAATTGTAGCTAAAATCAGTCTCATACATATAACGATTGAAATAAAAAAACGTATAGCCCGATTTTGATACGTACGAGTATAAACGTATCAAAATCAGGCTATACGTATAGCGCAGACGCGTTACAACATATCAAAAAAATAGGCATGGAATGTAAAATAAACCATAACATAATAGGTATATACATTGGCACATAAGCCATATCTGCAGAGTGTCGGCTAACGATATTATACCTACACATTTACATTGAATCTTGAACCGTCCCTAATGAGGTACACGATACAGTTACCTACATATCTATTATATACATATCTTTGCAAAACAGATGTCATGTAGCTGAATTGACTGCCATCTATTTTCATGCTTTGTTACTAAGCACCCACTAGTAATCCGAACTGCTTCAGATCTAGCGACATCTAGCGGTGGCGAAATAAAATAGCCCGAAGAATAGCCCGAGTTAGGAAGGAACCATTTTCTTGTATGGGATGGGGTATCTGTATGTAATATTATGTTATCTGTGGTATAGCTATTCCTGTTGAGGTAAAAAAGAACAGACTCAACCTTTATGTGTTTTTATCTATGGTCTTGTCTCTGTAAAATATAGATGTAAGCTTTATGATTCTTGTCTTTGGTTAATATTACAAGTTAATGGATCTCTGTATTTTGCTGCTAAAAAATTAAAATGTCTAGGAATAAAGTAACAAAGTAAATTTTATTAGAAATAAATAAGTAAAGAATTAAAGAAGTGATTATTAAAAAAAACAGTGTATTTATTGTGAGCAATCACAAATATTATTAATTCAAAGGAGGAACGCTGCCAGTATCTTCGGAACCTTGCCTAAAGGAATTCCTTTTAATAACATATTTTAGTTATTATATTATATTTTTCAAGGTTTTTACTTTTAGGTTAATAATATTGTCAAGTTGTATTGTGTTTCTAACAGAAATAATACATAATTAATTACATATGCGAAAGTGTCTGTCTAACTGTTACCTACTCACGTGATAGATCTTAATGAAATCTAATAGAATAGAAAATCATTTATTCAAATAAACTTACATTAAAGCACTTTTGAATAGTCATCACATTTTTTTTATCTACCGCTCATTCGGAAAGCTGTCTCATCACAAGAAGAACGAGCAAGAAACTTGTGTGTTGCTCTTGTAAATAATTTTATTCTTACTTTGCAATTTAAGTTTATGTATGTGAATACAAACTACCGATTAGCACTAATTCAATTAAATAATCAAATAGAAAAAATATTGAATACACAACAACTGGTTAAACAATTAATAAGAGGAAATCAATCATAGTGATTAGAGCAGACCAGTCCCTACAGGGAGCACCCGTTCACGAGTATGACGGATGATAATATGACTATAGACTGTTTTTTTTCTTAAGTAGCAGAGGGGATTTTTTATTTTGCATGATGATTTTTCAGTTTTTTCTTTCATTATTAACTATATTAATATTGTGTACTAAATGCGAAAGTATTAAAAGTATTCTAAAATACTTACTGGAAATACTCCCTGCAGCATGACTCCATGGCGATGCGGCAAAGAGACTCCAATTCCCCTTTCACTTTGGGAAGAACTGAAGACGAGCACTCTTCGGATGTGTGGTTCGTGGCGTACTTGGTGCCATGACCGCAGCACAACTTAGTGGTTTTTGCCATTTCTTCCACAAAATTCGCTGAAAAGAAAACAGAACTAAAATACTTATATCTTGTACTATGTTTATATATATACTAGCTTTTGGCTGCGGCTTCGCTCGCGTTAATTTATCACCTTAGGGGTGGAGTTTATCAAAATTCTTTCTTAGGGGATGCCTACGTCATAGTAGCTATATGCATGCAAAGTCTCAGCCAGATCGGTTTAAAATTGACAAAGTTTCAAACAAATTTTCATCCCCTATAGTTATATAAGCAATTTTAGTTTTATTCTTTTTTTTTCGGACTACTCTAATGCTGATTGCCGCAGCTTGCCTTTACAGCTTCACCGGACGATAGGGGGCGAGTGCAGATGGCACTCCAAACCTGACGCCTGACGGATACGACTTTAGTCTCAGGGCACCTCTAGGGGTTCGAACTTCGGCTCAGGCCGTCGTAACGTCGTGAATTCGACGGGGGATCGATCATCGATCAGAGGAGGGGGGGGGTTAGTCCTTGGATAGTGGTAATGTGATATAGTAGTATATAAGAGTTTACTCTCTATCCTGAGGAGATAAAAACCTCTCCTAAAAGTATCCTTCAATTCTGGTCACTGACGAGTCGTAGCTAACGAACTCAGAAAAAGAGCGAGCACTATGTAGGTCGCAGTGCTACAGATCCAAGCACCTAACAATATCCCAAACAACCTAATAAAAAAATTCTTGACATGGGCACATTTCACTAGATATATATTTTCTTTCTTTCATGTATTTGAAGTTATTGTGGCATGGGGAGAGCCTACCGCTGTCTCTCGGATTGATGTTTAATTTTAGTATCTATATTTCTTTCACCGCAGAGTTAATGGAAAATATAAATTCAAATCTATGTGTAACAACAAAACACTAAAAAAAAATTTTGTGTATCGACCTGATTTGAACCCGTAACCTTACATGAAATCGTGGTAGAAAACTAGAATAGAATAGAAAATCATTTATTCAAATAAACTTACATTGAAGCACTTTTGAATAGTCATTACATTTTTTTAATCTACCGCTCGTTCGGAAAGATGTCTCATCACAAGAAGAACGAGCAAGAAGCTTACGTGTTGCTCTTTTATATTTTTCGGACCACTCTAATACTGTTGGACGCAGCAGGTCTTTGCAGCTTCACCATATGATAGGGGGCGAGTCTAGATGGCACTCCAAACCCGCGGAAGGACTTATGGAGCGGCTGAAGGACAACTTCCGCCATATATTATTATTATATATTTATTATATATATCTATATATATGCATCAATAACGGGCCTGTATATAAAGACAGATAATATTATTTACACAATATTATCAATTATGTACCAGCCGTCAACGTATCTAAATAAATAAATATATTTATTTATCTGGGAGAGCGCCGTCTCACTAGTGATGGAAACACTGATAACAAACCACAGTAATCGAACAAACGGTATTAGACTAACTCCCTGTCATGTTTTTTTTGTGTATTTGGAATGACAAGCAATCTCATGGTCCACTTGATGGTAAACGGAAATCGTTTTCTACATAAAAAATAATAAGATAAAAAATCTCCAGATATATATACTACGCCTATACATATACATAAAAAATTAAAAAATTAAAAAATAAACAAACTCAGACATGGTAAAATTAACTTGTAAATATTGTGACATTCTCACTCTAGTTAAGTTTTTATTAAACCAAGTACCGGTGCTTGTGCTCACTTACCAGCCCTGGCTAGTGTAAATTGAGCATAAGATTTCTAAGCAAAACTAAACAGAACTGAACAGAGGAGCATAGGTTTATTTCACTTTTCAAAGAGTGTAAAGTTTACTCATTATTTTCGCCTTTGTATTTTTTATAACAGACTATTTGTTTACGTGGAAGCGAGTTTGTGAAAATATTTAGGTATCTATTCTCTAACATAAAAGGCACAACAGATTTTGTTGTTTTGTTGTTGAAGTTTGGAATACCAGCCATCTATTTATACTGTCCACACTGGCTATTTCTGTCAGTCTGATGCAGGAAGTATAAATAACATATTTTTACATAACTGAAATGGAACTGAGCTGATATTATAACAAATATAACAAACAAACAAATTCACATTTAATATATTAGCATAGGTATGTTGAAAGTTTGTATAATTTGTACACTACACTAAATATTACTAATCTATGTAATATGTTATCTGTGCTAATGCCAAGTTTAAATATTTAAGGTTGTCAATGTCAAATGGGTACCGCATTCAGTGTCTTGCTCATGTCAATCACTCGAGCATTTCTTTTCCCGCGGTTTCTCTTCGCCACATTTAATGTAATTAGCACCTCTTTATATTAAATATATAATCCGAAAGAGATATTTTTTTATTTATAATTATATATTTTAAATTATACATTAAATATTATCCACAGGTACTAATCTTTTTTTATAAATAACTATAAACTCGGCCCGGATTCGCACGGATGTACATACATGTATTATATATATAAACCCTGCTCTTAGTCTTGAATCACTTTATCTATTAAAAAAAAACCGCTTCATAATCCGTAGCGAAGTTTTAAAGATTTAAACATATATAGAGACGCACAGACAGCGACAGCGACTTTGTTTTATACTATGTAATGATGATAATGGAATGATGCACCCGTCTGTGCAACGGTTTACGTTGACGGTGTATCAGTAGAGGATGATTAGATGAGCCAAGTCAAATAGCGCATCTTGGCAAATTCACTAGGAATTCAGCTTAAGTTGAATTGCTAGTTTTTTTAATAGATAAGTATTGATTGGTTCATCCGTGTGTCCCTGATATACGGTATAAGTTAGTGGTACACCAATGATGATAGAACTAGAATAGTTATCAGACTACACTTAGCCTAACAAAAGGGAGAGAGGCACGAGAATGGCAACATAACGGGTAGAACGGGTGCTGCTTGAGGAGAGTCTCTGGTCTATAAGGGTTACGTATACTGATTGGACTATATGCTTTTGCAATAGCATATGCTGGTGGTCACTCTATTCTCCCAAATTTTCATTTAAAAAAGATTCTGTATTTTTGTAAACATGTACAACATTTATTTGAAAACAATACGAGCTGAATTTCTTGTCAGTTCTTCTCATCTCGAAATCATTCCGAACTGACATTTTGACATATCATAAGAGTCTGTAATAGACCTATATGAATAAAGATAATTTGAATTTGGTAACTATGTGGTATTAGGAAAAAACTCGGGATCTTACCTCTTGTGTTCACAATATTTTTGTAGTGTTTTAACGTTTAATAGTTACAAATATTACGTCTACATAATGACCATGTAAAATGAATAAAAAATGTGATCCCAATTCCATCATTATGATTATTTTCTCTCTTTGTGGTTTATTTGTGTATAATTTGAAACCATAATATTTTGCATGTCAAAACAAAGTTGCTATGGCAAAACACATAATCTATTTTGTTTGCTTTCTTACTGTGTTTTTGAGCAAACAAATTATTATTATTTATTTATTTATTTATTTATTTATTTATTCTTTTGCACACAAAATTGTATACATGGCGGACTTAATGCCTGATGGCATTCTCTACCAGTCAACCGACGTGTTGATCAGAGATAGTATAGCGGTGCAATTTTACAAGTATTAAATAGATTAATACAGAAAAAAATATGTATATAGGTGTATATATATATATATAAACGTACAAATATACTTCTAAAATTATATAATTACATAAATAAAGCGAAATATATAAGCTTAATAATTATCATACAATACACATATTATTAGTTCCCGTTATTACCTATCCCCTCTCTGATGAATCAGTCAGACCTTTTGTTGGGAACACTGACATTTAGTTTACTGTGATCCAAATGATGAATCAGTGCCACGGTAATTGGGTCAACGATACAGACAGAAATATTTATGATGAACATTTGTTATTTTATATACTCAATAATTTTAAGTATAAACATTTTTATGTGTCACAATAACTATGACTTTAAGCTTTTTGATAAACGTGATGCAGTCATATGATTTATTTGTTTTTGTTGACCTAGTTTTGATGAAGGGCTATTTATTTACGCGTATTTTGTTAACATTTCTATTATTATTATTTTATTAGGTATTGCGGGCAACATCGTTTGTTTTAATGATTTAGGCCCCCTCGGATCGATCCCCGACCGATTCAAACGGGGATCGTAATTAGGACGGCCTGAGCCGAGGTTCAAACTCCTAGCGGTGCCCTCAAACTAAAGTCGCATCCGTTATGCGGGAGTTGTCCTTCATCATCATCTGCTTCTTCCCTATCCCATTTATTTGTGGTCAGCGTAATATGTTTTTCGCTTCCATTCATCCCTGTTCGCAGTCATCGCGTTATTTACTTCCTTTCTTACCATATCATCTTTCACACAGTCCATCCATCTCTTTTTCGGCCTTCCTCTGCCCTTATAACCATCCACATTCATATGTAACACCTTTCTTATAATATTATCCTCGTTCCTACGCATTTGGCCTTCAGTCGCTCCATAAGTCCTTCCGCGGGTTTGGAGTGTCATCTGCACTCATCCACTATCGTCTGGTGAAGCTTTAAAGGCCAGCTGCGGCCAATAGCATTAGAGTAGTAAAAAAAACTACCAAATAAATACAGTCGACCTTTAAAGTTCCTCTTTTTATGACCGTAATCTCAAGTAAACTTGCTACGGAAGTATTTTTTTTTAAATAAACTTGGGTCTAATCTCTGATAAGATAGTATAAACGGTTATTTGGTTACCGTAGCAAATCAAATTCCGTGGCTAAAATGATGGAAGATCTCTACTGAAACTGACATATATAAATTTAAAATTCTACAGAGTTGGAACCCTAACAAATAGACTAACTTCTACGTTTATTCCAAGACTGGCTCTATAAAAATCGTATGCATTGTAAGTCAGTCTAAATAAAAAAAAAGTACCTAAGTCATTCTCACATAATTTAGCCGCTAATTATCTTCTTTAAGCTAAGTGCTAAAGCAAGCATGCTTTGTTTAATTTGTATCGGTTGACGGGGATATGGTAGTGATATTTGTTAAATTATGTATCCAGCTGATAATCGATTGTCGATAAATAAAATGTTCTCTTCTTGTCAGGCTGGAGTTGGCCTTCAGTCGCTCCATAAGTCCTTCCTTTGGTTTGGAGTGCCAAATGCACTCGCCCCCTTTCGTCCGGTGAAAGTGTAAAGGCCAGCTGCAGCCAACAGCATTAGAGTAGTCCGAAAAAAAATATTATACAATAAACAATATAAGTATAATAGATAGAAAAAAAACCCTATACACATCGCTGATGGTGAAACTTTTCACTATACTTACATAGATAATCCAAATAAATAACCTGGACAATTTACACAGCGCCATCTATTATCAGACTAAGCATAACTTAGAGGAACCCTCATCTGAGGCCGCGAGGTTGGTGTATTATTTAATTAGGAATAGATTTTAAGAGCACTTTTTTTGGTATTGTCAAGTTTTTTTCTTTTATTTTTTTATTAAATATGTGTTTTTTGTTTATATTAAAGACTAGCTGTTCCCGCGACTTCGTCCGCGTGGAATTTAACATTATTTTTCTAAAATAAAAGTAGCCTAAGTTACTCCTTATTACATCAGCTACCTGCCAAAAAAGTCCTGTCAAAATCGGTCCAGCCATTTCAGATTAGCCGGAACAAACAGACCGACAGACAGACAGACAAAAATTATAAGAAATGTTATATTGGTATATGTACCGTATATATGGATTATCATATGCATGTAGTAAAAAACGGTTATTTCAATATTACAAACAGGCACTCCAATTTTATTTATATGTGTAGATGTGTAGATTAAGGTACGATGGAACTGACGTACCAAAAAGTGAAAAGAAACGTTAAATTAATATATTAAAAAGAAGCAGAACTAAATTCCACTAATTAATAAAGACTTAAAAATACCTTCTTTTGTAGATACCAGACAAGTTGTAGATATTTAAATATATCAATCAGTTGTCTAGTACCCATACATATTTTGTAAATCCATACATAGAAAACACCCAGTCAAGCACAAATACTCATACCCTACAATACAATACAAATATTGAACCCGCTACCATCAGAACCAAAGCGCTGTGCTAAACCACTAAACCACTGAAGCTATCAAGAAACCGATAAGAAATAAAATGCTCACGCCTGCAGCGTTTTATTAATGCATTATCAACAATTCGTTCGTCTATTCGAGTCCCGTCGCCGTTGTTTTTATTTCTTATTTTCATTTCGAAACCATTAAGTTTTTAAGTTACATTATCTTGATCACAAGCATATTTTAAGTCAAGTTTGGGCTTCATTGATATTATACTTACACTTTAATTAAGTTAAATTAGTGATAGTTGGTAGTTATAAGGTAATTTTTAAATTTTAAGTAACTGTGACGTGGTCGAGTGGAATGTGGTCGCGTGGTGGGCCAGGTCATTGGGCTCCCTAAAATATGGTCGAGCGCAGTGATGGCTGGCTCATCATACTCGTGAACGAGTGCTGCTTGTAGGGACTGGTCTGCTCTTATCACTACGACTGATTTAATCTAATTGTGTTTTTATATTTGACTCTAATAAATTAGTGCTGGTTGGTAGTTTGTATATATACACGTTGCTACTTAAAAATGTAAAGTTACAACGATTATATAAAAGAGACACATGTTTTACTCGTTCTTCTTGTGATGAGAGAGCTTTCCGAATGAACGGTAGACTAAAAGGATAACTGTGATTATTCAGAAATACTTAAATTAAGTTTATTTGAACAAAGGATTTTCTATTTTATTATATTTTTTATATTACCATAGCTTAGCAAGGAACGTAGTGATTATTAAAATAACATTATCTTATCTGTATCCGTAATAGAGACTATATGTCTTGTACGATACAATATAACAGGGGGTATGTGAATATATATATAACATAGACGGTCTCAGTAGTCTAGCAGATTGGCATACCGTTCTACTTCCTTACTTCCTATGGTCGTGGGTTCGATTCCTCAAAAGATAAAAACTTGATAACGTGATATCGTAGTGCTATTCATGTACCGTCTATTAGGTGGGCCGTCAGCTTATTTAGTATTCCATTATGAAATATATTCCATAAATGCGAATATATCTGTCTGTATGTCTGTTATATTATTACAACTAAACGGCTGAACCACAGAAAAGAGAACTTAATATTATCTGCGAAACGAATCTCAATAAAATTTGATGTGAAGATATATTGTATTGCTAGTATAGACATAAACATGTACTTTATTTTAAAAAAGCAGACGATGTTGCGCCTGGTTACAAACAAACAGTTAGTACAAAACTATAACTCACCATTGACATCCCGATGCACCAATGCAAACATAAACCCCACTATAAAATACCACAACATTGTCACTTATTAAAACAAATACACAGGACAACAACTTAAGCCATTTCACTCCCACGCGTGAGAAAGAGACGGAGCATTTATAAGCTAATCTGTTTTTAAATTAAGAATAATCCATGGATCCTTAATTCGAAGAGCGCGCGCAGGAGTGCGTAGAATGCGCGTGCGCACCGCAGTCTATTTCGGTTCAGACTGCACCCGTCTCAGTCGCGGCAAAGATCATTGGAAACAGATGTGACACGACGTGTAGAGAAGAATCGTTAATAATTCGTTACTTCTTTTCATTATTGGCATGAATTTTTGAATTTCGAATATTCTCTATTCGCTTCACTTAGCTCGCTTTTAAACCGATTAAAAAAAGAATAGATTCTCAATTCGACTCTACTGTTTTTGTGACAGAACTTTTTTCTATGTAAATTGATATCCATTTACATACAACCTCATCTCTATAAACATAAACTTTAAATTGTTTTGTTGATTCAATTCAAAATAAACCTGTTATTGCGATCGTGGAAAGTGGCAACAGCTCCACTGACAAGAGCTTGGTTCTTAAATATTTCTTTTTTCTTTTGGCTCCGGCGGTTTGTGTCGCCATTAGCCATAGGTTCTTAAATTATGAATGAACGAAAGAAGAGACGATTTTTTTTAAACCATACATAATATACACAAAACAGACCTAGACTGACATAAAGAATCATAAATACAAATATTTGCACCATGCGAGGACTCAAAGCCGCGAGCGTCGGAAGTAGAGTGGAGTGCTAAACCGCTAGAACACCGAGGCCGTCAAATAAGTATAATAAGGCAGTAGGTATTAAAGTCTAAATGTTGTCGCATCTGCACTTTGATTATTTAACTCATCTCCCTCCCACTGTCTGGAAGTCCGCATCGTATGAATATTGAACATGTCAGGATGCGGATTTTATAGTATAGTATTTATAATTATATACATATCATGCACATCACATATAGTATAAACAGAATAAAATTAAAACCATATCTTTTCATATGCGAGCTTAACCATGCTTATAATAAAATGTAACTTTTCACTGTTTATACGAGGAAGATTAATAAAATAAATAAGTAACTCTGGACAATTAATACAGCGCCATCTAGACCCAAGTGAAGCTAGTTGTTGTATTTTTTAATTATCCTTTTTAGAGGATTTTGTGATGGGAATTATTCTGTTAAACCCTCTTGGTGATAATTTAAACTGTTAATAAATAGATATATTAGTAGGTACACATACGTATATAAATAGATATATGCATATATATACCTACTAATTAATTCCATAAGACATGCTATTTCCATGTGTGTCTGTCTATAGGTTATTTTTCATAGAAATCCACTCAACCATATGCTTGTCAAACTTTTAATCATGTCCATAAACGTTCATATTTATATCTATTATTTATTAATACTGAAATGCACAAATGGCAGACTTAAAACCTTGAGGCATTTACTCCCAGTCTTGCCCATAAGGTAAATAAAGATTCATGTGGGTAGTATATTATCAACATTTAAAATTTATATACGTAACTAGCGCTACTCGCTTCATCCGCGTGGAATTTAACAAAAAGTTAATTAGAGATTTTTTCTAAAATAAAAGTAGTCTAAGTTACTCCTTCTTACATCAGCTACCTGCCAATAAAAGTCCCGACAAAATCAGTCCAGCCATTTCAGAGATTAGCCGGAACAAACAGACAGACATACAAAAATTTTAACAAAAGTTATTTTGGTGTATACGTACCGTATTTATATTCATATGCATGTAGTAAAAAATGATTATTTCATTATTACAAAAAGATACTTCAATTTTATGTATGTAGTCAGTGATATAGAGAATATTCTTCAACAAACAGTCTAGGAAGTTAGCACAATACATAAGAATAACGAAATCGGTTACAAGATCACTCCAAGACGTCACCTTGAAATTAGAGGTGCCTTATCTACAAATGTAATGCTCGTACAAATAACAATAAGTAATCCTGGTTGTAGTGAAATATTATTATTGTATAAAGTAATTAACTCATGAGAATACTAACTCATTGGTTACACAATTTCAACCGAAACACAGTTTACAAAGCAAGCTGTCTGTCGGCTGAAATAGGTGGGACTAAGGCTTTTTAGAAAGTCATCCTTGTTGTATTACGTCACCTCACTTCCACTTTGTCTAACTTATGACAATACTAACTCACTGGTAGTTACACAACTTCAACCGAAACAGTATTACGAATCAAAGCATACCCTATCGCTATCATATTGAGAATTTCTTAAGGAAGGTTTATGGAATATGATGTCCACGCAAACGAGTTTTTAGAAAGTCATCCTCGTCGTCTTTCAATTTGTCTAACTCACGACAATACTAACTCACTGGTAGTTACACAACTTAAGTATAAGTAACTAATTAAAAATAGTTAGCAGTTATCATAAGATCATACCCTATCGCTCATTTTGAGAATTACTTAAGGAAGGTTTATGGAATATGATGTCCACGCACGAGTTTTTAGAAAGTTACCCTCGTCGTATCATCTCTCACATTGTCTAACTCATAACAATACTAACTCACTGGTTGTTACACAACTTTAAAATGTATGCAGTGAAAATTAATTAAAAATACTTAGTAGTTATCATATCACGGTTAAAGGGTGGATACCCTTCAGGCGTAATATGATTTACAAAGCAAGCTGCACAATGGCTGAAATAGGTGACACTAAGGTTTCCAAATAGACAAATTTTTACAAACTCATCATGGTATCATTATCCACATTATCTAACTGATGACAATACTAACTCACTGGTAGTTACACAATTTCAAAATTAACTTAAGTTTAATCCATTGAACATAAAAAATAGCTAGTAGTTATCATAAGATTATGTTCAGGTTTATTATATATTATTATATTAAGCTTGAAGGATCTCACCTATTTTAAGCCGTAGAGCTTTGTAAAGCATATTGCTCGACGGCTGAAAGTGAGTCTGAGTTACTCACGTAGACATTTATATACACTATACTAGAAATTGATATTTATAGAGATTTTCATTAAAATAACGAATAAGGCAATGTAGCTGTTTCCGTCTGTTTGTTCCTTCACTAATCTCTTCTAAACTACGTAACGGATTTGAGTACGGCTTTCGTTACTATATTGAAAATTTTTTAAAGAAGGTTTATGGACTAAGAAAGTCATCCTCGTTGTATCATCATTTACATTGTCTAACTCATGACAATACTAACTCACTGGTTACCCAACTTTAAAATGAATGCAGGGAAAATAAATTAAAAATACCTAGTATTGTGGACTAGTGGACTAGACTACGACCTCTTGGGTGTTAATTATTTAGGGTAGAAAGTACTAAGTAATACGTGCTATCTTCATTTATACTAATGTTTGGGTGAAAGATGCCACGATTTCGACCAGTGTCGAAGTTCGACCAAAATGATAAATGCTAATATTTCTCTGTACCAGCAATAACAATTAAACAAAAGAATATATATACGTGTGTGTATCAGAAATATGGTAATGTGTATAATGTACATATTTTATTGATTTAATGTATTTTTTTTTAATATTATCATTCTACACTCCTTCTCTATAAAAACTATCATCATCATCATCATCAGCCCACTGCAGTCTACTGCTGGACGTAGGCCTCTCCCAAGGCACGCCACTGGGCACGATCTTCAACCCTTCTCATCCAGATACTACCCGCAACCCTACGTATATCGTTGCTCCACCTAGCTGCGGGGCGTCCCACACTACGTTTGCCAATTCGCGGTCTCCACTCTAGAACACACTTACTCCAGCAAGCATCGGTTCTGCGATAGAAAAAACTATAAGTGTGCGAAATTACATCATCATCGCAGCCCGGAAGACGTCCACTGCTGGACATAGGCCTCCCCCAAAGATCTCCACGACGATTGATCCTGCGCTGCTCGCATCCAATGCCTTCCAGCGATCTTGACCAGATCGTCGGTCCACCTTGCTGGAGGCCTTCCGGACAGATGGCCGTTGGGGCAGTAAAGTCCTCGAGTGGCGACCACGGACCGGAAGACGCAGCGAAATTACATACTCGTCCGCAAAAGTGGGTAAAAATTTTTGTTTCACGTATTAATAAAAGTGTATGAACATTTGCATAGAAATAGTTAACAAAATTATTATTCGGAGTGACGAGAAGGGAGGGCCTACTCAAACACTAAATCCTCTAGACCACTGACACTTTGACAGTTGTGTTTGTACACGTTTCAACACGACTTGTCTCTCGAGAGTCGCTTCTGTTTGTATGTTTGTATATATATATCGTCACTATGGAGGTCATTATATTAATATGTTTGTAGTTAGTTGCATTGTATTTATTTTGTTACGGATCAGAAATGCCAGCGATTTCAATATGTATTGCGATTACGAAATAACCACTTCGGCAAAAGCCATATAATTTTATAAATACCAAAATATTGACAAGGAAACTAATTTTATATTAAATATTAAGTGTTAATATTACTTAAAATAATTCTAGTTATATTATTTAAGAATTAGGATCTATACGGAAAAGTTTATATATATATATATATATATATATATATATATATATATATACCTTCCACTTGAATCACTCTATCTATTAAAAAAAACTGATACAATATCCGTTGCGTAGTTTTAAAGATTTAAGCATATATATAGACGGACAGACAGCGACAGCGACGTTGTTTTATACTATATAAGGACATAAAATAATACACAATAAAACTCTTATATTCCGACTTTACCCTTCCGTTATATTTCACAGTATTAGCACAGATAACATAATATTAGAGTTCTCAAAAAAAAGTGATATATCTAAATATCTATCTATCGATTGGATATTTGGAATGAATTTAAATAGATTTATTTTACAAAATTCATTTCAAATTATTATAATAAACATGACGATTTTGCTTGTATTTTCATTGTATTTGTATTTGGTAAACTAAAGAATCCAAATATATTCAATACGTACCTATTTGTGTTACATATTACATTTACTACATTATCATGACTTGGGTTAGATTTATAAATCTCTTTTTGATTGAGTGTTAATATAGACCAGTTTAGCACAAGGCTGGTTTCCCCAAAACGGTTGACCCCAAATATTTTCCCCATTCAGTAATTGAGTAAGTCTAAAATATAGGCACGAAATTT